AAAAAAAAAAAAAAAAAAAAAAAAAAGGCTGCTTTTAGGAACTTCCAATATCTAATCTAGTAGCACGTTTGGAGAGTCCAACGTGGAAGGTTCCGCCGGTATCCATTTAAACCTATTTAACAGTCTGCAAAAGCCACTCAGGCATCCGCGCCGAGGGAACACCAAGTCAAGATTACTAGTACTAGTAGCTAACAATGCACAATTGTCGGAAGATTTTTATTTCAGCGTGGACAATTACATTAGTTAGGAGCCTCAGTCTTTACAAGGGAGATATTCCGTTTCGTGGAACCAACATGAGGGGAAGGGCCTTCTAAATCTAATATACTATATATATAACTGACTTGCTTCCCCTTGAATGGTGGCCCAGTATATCTCACCCAGCATCAACTCAATTCCATCTGTTGAAGGAGGTTCAAGATAGACTCCCAGTCCTCTGTGACGTGGGAATATTTATTCCGGGCTCCCCCTCCAGAATTTCGGACTCTCTCACGAGTCCCTTGTTCCAATATATCGTCGCTAGTCTATGTTTTCTGGCCAGCATATCATATGGAACCCATTCCTGCTTTCCAGCTTCTTCTAATACCTGTATGAGTAGTCCTTCTGCTTTATCCCATTCTTCGCTTTCTGTTTAAATGCCTGCCAAGTTGCTCTTGCTCTGGAGATACAGGGGATGACTCGGCCCTAGAGCGCTCTGGATTGTCCGAATTGTTTCGATGCTATATAGTCGAGCCATGGTGTCAGCGCTGAGCCATGTAACTTGGTGCGCCGGGCCATAATTTTTCCTCCAGCTCCAGGAACGTCGTATCAAATCCTCTGCGCTTTCTACTTTCCCTAGGTCAAGGTATAGAGCCCCTAAGCTAGCCATAGCGGCGATTGTGCCGTCATGTTCCTCACCGAAAATTGACTTTCTCCTCTAGAACTTCCATTCTCAGAGTCTCTGCCTCTTGGAGTCGGCCAAGGTACTCATAGACCGAGGCTAGGTTTGCCATACTAATCAAAGTAACACTGTGGCGTGGTGCTAGCAGCATTTTCCTTGTCTCGACAATATACATATCCAATGCTTCTGCCTCTGACCATCGTCCCTGGACCTGATATGTCGATGCCAGACTGGCCATGCTCTCCAAAGTCTCTGGATGGTCCCTACCAAAGCACTGCTTCTTCTCCTCCAATATCAGAAGATCTAGTTGCTCGGTCTCATTACAGCGGCCCTGTGACCACAGATAGTAAGATATTCCCTCTTGAAGATATAGCCTTCTCTTCTTCAAGCCCTCTTCATGCAGTTCTGGAATATACCTGAGAGCTGACTGGGCATGGGGCAAATAAGCTCCGCACATACTCCGATTCTCACCATTGGTATCAGGAAACGCCCTTGCAAGGATATCCATGGCCTGAACGGCTTTCTTCTCAAAGCCGTCCTTGATTATCTGCCATTTACGTATCACTAGTTGCACCAACCGATGGGAACGAAAAGCTGTCTTTGTCCCTGCCAGGGGTGATAAGAGAGAAAGCCTTCAACGTGCCTAGGACCTTCACGAGATCCAGTGCCTTCTTCACTTTTTTTTTTTGGAGAAAACTTTTAGGAATATGGTACTGGTCAAGGGAAGCAAGCGGTGATAAGACTTCAATGACATTGGTGTCTCGCTCTTTAATGTGGTTAATGGAAAACCAATAACATCGTAGCCAGGGCATTTGGGACCTCCGTATCCCTTCCTACAGTTTCAAATGGCTCGCAGAGTAAATCCCTCCGAGTTTCGTCGCTGTCATTGTATAACTCGATATATTCACCCACCATTAGTGAAATTTCCTGTATGAAAGGCATAGCTTGTACTATCGCAAGCGGCAGATGCTCGAGTAATTTAGCAAGTTTGTCTACTTCTGAGTCCTCAGGACACTTCGCAGTCGCAGAAGATTTGGTAAGGTATGCTGACTCCGCTTTCGTCATAGGGACAACCTCAATAAGATTATGCGCACAACTTTTGGTGAATTTAACCCCTGTCCCACGATCTCGAGTTGTGATGGCGATTGAGCCATGGGAGCAATCTGGGAGGTAACCCAAGGTTGAAAGATGCTTATGTGCTTGCCTTGCTGTTCCCAGCTTGCCCCGTTTGATATTGCCCTCGGAAGTAAACAATGAGGCTTCGTCAGCATCATCGACGATGAGCAACCGCTCATGATGCTGCTCTTCTAGCCACTCTCTCACAATCATCGCTCTGTCAGAATCGTACTAGCACCAGTTGCAATATCTTACTTGATGAACATACAATAGTTTGCGTCAACTTCTTCAGTAACGTATGTAGACCCTGTAGTACTGAAGCTTCTCAATGATGGCTCATTTGCTGATGTTACAAGTCAGACAATCAGCGAAGAGACACTCTTATAGCCATCATCATCTCCGCTCGCAAATCTGCAAATGGGTTCGTGATCAGCGTCCAAAGCCACTACCGTCTCGCGAGAACCAGGAAGACCAAGAGTCGCTGCTCTCATTTCCACGATCTTATCACAGATCAGCAGTGTCTAAATATTACAATTTACGTAGCACGAGGCAGCAAACACACTAGTCCAAAGTTCTTCAACGGTAAAGTCTCACAGAAATTCAGATATCGGTAGTTTTCAAGTAGCTGTTGAAAATTTGACGATATTTCCCGGGCATACAAATCGTCGCTTTTGAGGGCATTCATAAAAGTATTCCTCGGGTTCCTTAGGGTAGCTCTCACAACTTTAGCGAATACATCCCCAATCAATGCTAAGCAAGATCCTTGATGAGGGGCCCCAAAAAACGCTATGCCAATCGTTGATTCACCGATAGTTCCATATGACATACAAAGTCTCGCTTGCACGAGGGACTGTTGGTGTCAGCTTTTGCGAGGACCTTGACATGGCATGGGTTGAATACCTCCTTTACTACAATCCCCCCTAGACTATGAGCAATAAATAGGATAGGCCAATATTCACAGGCCTTTCTCTCTAGACTTAGTTGAATGAGAAGATTTCGCGTCTGCTCTCGCACGCCAGCCGAAGAAGACTCAATGCTAACATTGAAATTATAACCGAAGAGCATTATCTTGGCGCGTGGAACCTGATTAGGGACAGAAAATGAGGAGCGAGGGAGCCGAACCCGAATATAAGAAGCACAATTTTATTGTGAACATAGTCAGGGGTTAATTTAGACAGCCTCAAAGATCGGCTGGGTTGGTTCAGATTAGAACGAGCTACGCTGGTATAGGTGCACTGCTACCTACCTTTTGGGCGGTTAGATCGGAATTAATGGGTGATTGGGTGAAACAAATAGTGCCCTAATTTAATGCACGTACGAGAAAGCATCCCGCATCGGTTCAACGGTAATCCTATAGGTTAGTAGCAAAGTAGTCCTAAAAATAAATAATGGAGTGGGCGCTTAACTCTCCACTGTATTTTCTAGTCAGGTTGGTGATGGGACTCGATGAGAGTCACCAAGAAATGGGAAGCGTCTGTGATCGACTAGTCAATTTCCCCTTCTCAGGCTTGGGCTTCTGTGAGTACGGTGAATATACATGGGAGCATGAATGCTAATGATTGTATTTTCCCTATATAAGGCAGCGCCAAAGGATTCTCCTGGGAGCACCAACCAACATGCGACGGAAGCGCCGAGCAGTCGCCGTTGAAAAGGCAATGAAACACCGAGCTGCGATGAGAGACAAAGAAAGCGCAACAGTTTGTGCCAGGATGAAGATGAATGGATATTGTGGCTCAATAGAACATTGAATGTGTTTCAGGTCCGACTCCTGTCTATTATGCTTATTGTCGTTGTCTGACAATACGCTTGGGGTTCTTTCCTGACATTTTGTGGAGCGCCAGGACATATCAATAAGGCTCCGGAGGGTATGCCCTGGTTGAGTTATGTTGACCTCATCTCTTCTTTAACCCTCAGGATAACCTTGACTTTGTCGCTCTTTCTTTCTCCCCCTCCTTGAGTATCCGAACACAGTCTGCTGCTGGTCAGCCCTCACAGCCGCGCTTCCACCTTCCTTATTATCAGTTTCTCTCTACAATCTCGCACGAGTACCATTCTTTGAATACACTGCTATAAGGCCCTTGGTACAGCTTTGCATAAGTTCGAACGGGCAGGTACAGGCAGCTTTTCTTCATTGTAATACTGGATTTATGATGGCTTCGTTAAAAGAATCTTTGGCAGGCCCAGGATTTGTGATTCTTAATGCGATTCGGGTCTTGAACATAATCGCCCTGTTAGACATCATTGCTGCCTGCACGGTGATGCTGGTGAAGATCTCGCTGCTGAGCAGCTTCTTTTTCTTCGAGGCGGCATCTCATGTCATGACCGCCGGAGTTAGCAGTAAGTAATTGCGGCTCCCTTGTGAACAGGCGCCTTGATAAAATTGCTAAATGATTATGATAACAGTAATCCTTATAATCTCAGAACTTCCTTTTTTCCGCGGTTATTTTGATCACAACTGGCCCCTGTTGGGTCAGGATTCTGGGTTCATCACCCTGGCACTGGCGTTGCTGATACTTGGAGTCAGTATTTTGGGCGACTTGAACACGGAGGCCACAAGCCAGGAGTCCCTTGGAATCTCGTTCTGGCAAATTGTCCTCTCTGCTGGGATATTGGCCATGATTATGAGCGCTATTAATCTGGTCGCGGTAAGCTTTTGTTCACTGGATGTGGCATAGTAATTACACTGACCAATGCGAACGGAATTGCAGAGCTTTGTCTTCGCCGATCGCAATAGCGGTGTCACTGCACGCCATGTCCGGGTGTATGGAGCAGTTGCACCACAGAAAGTGGTCAAGCGAACTGACAGCCAACGGTCGTTTCAGCTCTGCATGAAGCGAGAAGATACGCTGCCAAAATACAGTACAGAGTCAACCCCAAGGAGACAATCGGCCATGCCCCGGTTTCCGCTGAAGATAAACGGACTCCTAAACACGGACGACGCAGCGTCATCAAAATACTCGAGAGATTCATCAGGCGTTGCTATCCCCAACTTAGCCCATCACCCGGCGATGCAGTCTGGGCATGTTTAATTTGATTCTCTTTGGACCAGATGACTAAAACCTTTCGTTAAGCGGATGAATGATACCTCTGAATTTTGTTATAAAGCGTGGATTGTTCTTAAGAAGTTAGTGACCGAATTCATTTGGAATATCATGCGTTCTATACTGCTTCTTCGCCTTTTGTAGTTGTACTTTAGCTTGCTAGTGTTGTACCTCTCAGGGCTTATGATCTTGTAGCAATGAAAATGTTAAGGGTATGTATGATCATCGTCGGACCATGAGAACATGATAGGCCTTAGGAATCATATGCATGGTCATGGCTACACCGTTCTGTCCATCGTAAGGGGTAGTGACGTGGAAAGTACAAGTAAATTTCCAGTGTATTGCCTCTGGTATGGATTCATTGTCCACAACCCGGAATCTTATTGGTAGATGATATCCGCCGCTTGGCGCCCGCCGCCGATAAGATCGACCGAAGGGGGCGTTTATGACACCTGAGCTTCATCTCTTTCGAAGTGACGTCGGGCGATGCGACAGCTAACGCTATACGACAAATCGGAAAGATGGTGGAACTAGGGATATCCTTTGGAACGTATGTATTCCAGACATCTGGGAATGATGCTATTGACTTATCGATTGACACTGACCTATCATAGCATTAAATCTCTCCTGATCTTCTTCGCACCGATCATTGTACCTCGTATCGTCAATTTCTACCGGAGTACGCGAGTCGCATTAGCATCACGCCCAGCGCCTCGGGCTCTCCCTCAGAATGCATCGCGTGCCCTGAATGTCCTCTTCTTTGCGGTTCTTTTCTTCTTACTCCTTAGCCTACCATTTAATCCCCATGCGCCGAGCCCAAATATCTTCGCTCTGACACGTTCTCGCCTCAATACCCCAACGGACGTCGTATTTAATCGGCTGGCGCGCTATAGACCAGAGAACACGTTGACAGACGCGGACACATTACTACGGTCCAAGTTCACGTCGCTGGGGGCCAGAAAGGTGTACCTACGTTTTGGGCCAGAAACGTTGACAGGATGTCAGTTCTGCTCGCTCGACAATATAAACACCTACCTCCTATACTATCTTCCCTTCCACACGCTACTTCCACATCTCCTCCACATGGTGATAGTGGGCTTGGTTACGTCGGCACCGTTTGCAGGTCGAGAGGCGGCAGGCTGGCGCAACAAATTCACGATGGCGGGCCTAGCTCTGGCTACCCTAGATGCTTACATCGTGTTCACTTACGACCCAGTGCAGTCAGCGTCCGCTGCTGTACGGGCCGGTGTCAGCCCGCCATCGAGTTTGTACCATCAGATCACCCTGTTGCGGCCCTTGGTGTTTGCGATCTTTGACGGCATCTGCTCTTTCTTGATTTACGTGACGGCCACCCACCGTTTCTTCTTCACTCCTCCCTCCCAAGCGGAACAAGTGGATCAGTTGGTGGGCTCTTCCCTGTCGGCTCTGTCTGGAGCCACTGCGAAGCTCCACGCCGTGAACGTGGCTCGCAATGCGGTTGTCAGGGACAAAGTGCTGAAAGACCGAGATGACGCATATTGGCGGGCAGTTGTCGCGATGAACGCGGACACCGCTAAGGCCGACGGTGGCGATCTGTCGACTAATATCTGGGAGGAAGAAGAAGTGGTGCGAGCTATGTCGCGGGCGATGGCTGGTGAAGGAGGGGTGGATTTGGCCAAGTTGGGTGTTAGCGCGGCGGAATATGTCAATGGAGTGACGGCCGGCTTGGATAATGATACTGAGCCTCATGAGAAATCATAGTATCTGCTGTAGTAGATATCTATACTTAAATGCGCCATATAAATACAAATAAATATATGTACATTATTTTTTTTCCCCACCGGCGTAATAAAGAGTAGTATGGTGGAATAAAACGAGTAGCAAGTGAAACCTCCAATTTTACATCACGATTGTCCATGTTGATCCTCAACGACTATGACAATTCTCCGCATCGTCGGGGGAGGTAAAGAGGGTCAGGTGGTTTCCTTTAGTGCAGGACTTTAAAACCCTAAATTCCAATTGATGGACCGATCGCTCCTCCTCCAGGGTCGTGACACTAGACCTTAGATAACCAGATGACCCGAAGAATCGTATATTAGTCGTAGACCAACCGAAATGGAACAGCCTCTAGAAAGAGCGTGTGTAGAGAAGCACCACGACCATTGGGGAAAGCCGTGCGGAGGTTGGGAACCTTAAGGTGATGGATTTTCACAGGCGGTGTGCCATGACACATTTGGTGGTGGTACGGAGTACTTCCCTGATACTTCAGGTCTTTAGGTAGAGCCAGAGTAATCCCAAGTACTGCATACGTAACTGGCTGTGTGGGCCGTCCCTCTTGTGAAACACTCCCCTCATCTCCTTCTCTTTCTCTTTCTCTTGCTCTTTTTTTTTCTTTTTTATTTATTTATTATTATTTTTTTCCCTGGTTTTTCTCTATTTCATTTCCCCTTCTGTATTGAGAAGGAGAAGTTGATTCTCTTTCCTTTTGAGTATCGATCCATATATACATATTTGGTCCCTTGGTTTTGAAGGGATATTTATTTTGAGATCCCGACTGGTCTTCCACAACGGTCCCGTCCCTTGATCTGCCTGAGACTCCAGGCATTCCAGGCCAGCCAAACCCAACAAAAAGAGGTACCCGCAGCGGAACCGCGGATTCCAAGTAACTACTGCTTAACCGCGACGGAATAGTGGTCGGGAACCACTCTCGCCCACTTCTCTACCCTGTCCTTTCCATTTTCCTCTTTGTTGGTTCCGCCATTGGTGCAGAACAGTTATCGTTCTTGCTAGGCATCTTAGGATCCTTTGATCCTCCAACACTTGAGTCTTCTCGTCATGACAAAAGAAGCGCCGTCGCAATCGGTCACGGAGCTCAATGCCTGTGTTTCCACAGGCCACCGCCCTGCCGTGAAAGAAACCACGTTCCGAGAATGGGTGGTTGACAATCAAATCGGTACGCATGAATGATTCGGTTCCCTCCTTTGTTCGGCTTGCGTGCTCCTTCGACTGCTGTCTATGTGATTTCTATGCGTGGGCTCCTAGAGAGGAGAACAAACAGTGGCATTGTCCTTGCTAACGATCGGTTGATGTACAGGAATCTCATTGACAATCCTTTCCATGCTATTGGCCGTTCACCATCTCTACCCTTCTTTAAGGCCTTATACCGCTCCGTTCTTCCAACTATCCTACTATCAAGCTTCTCAAGGCATTTACGTTCAGGGATGGGATGATATTTACTTCGTCGCTAGTTCCGCGATCGCCTTTACGGCCATCCGGGCCATCGTAATTGACTGGGTTCTTCGACCAATTGCGATGCATGCGGGACTGAAACGGAAAGCTTCAGTTCGATTTGCTGAACAAGGTTGGATGTGGCTGTACTATGCGTTCTTCTGGACTTTCGGCATGGTTCGTACAATTCTACTAACTTGTGTGCCTGCTGCAGACACTGACCGTCGATCTAGTACATTTGGTCGAACTCCAACCACTGGATGGATTTTGCCGCCATCTGGGATGAGTGGCCTGCTCGCGGCGTCTCAGGCTCGCTCAAGTGGTATCTCCTGGCGCAGCTGTCATTCTGGCTGCAGCAGATTTTTGTTATCAACATCGAGGAGCGGAGAAAAGACCACTATCAAATGTTCACCCATCACATCATAACCAGCACTCTCTTGACCTCCGCATATATATACGGCTTTTACAACGTCTCTAATGTAGTTCTGTGTCTGATGGATATTGTGGATCTCTTGTTGCCGGTAAGTCTTAATCCATGTCTTATTAAAGATCCAGTATACTGACTGCATGGATAGACGGCAAAGATACTGAAGTACTTTGGTTACGAACTTGCTTGCAACGTTGCCTTCGTTGTTTTCATGCTCACATGGTTGATCACACGTCATATAATGTACCCTCTGCTATGCTGGTCCATATTTAAGGAGGTCCCCGCGAGGATGTCGTACGGCTGTTATTCCGGAACGACAGCCGAAATGATCTCGAACGATGGATACCCCGATCAACTGACCCATCTTTTCTACCCATTCTTGAACATCGATGGCCCTATCTGCATGAACCGCACCATCAAGTGGATCTTTCTATCCCTCCTGCTATTTCTTCAAGTGTTGTCCATCATCTGGTTCGCGATGGTCATCCGCGTGGCGGTTGGTGTGCTCCGTACTGGAAATGCAGAGGACTCGCGCAGTGATGACGAAGAAGAAGAGGTGGAAACGAGAATCTCGAGCAAGGATGGCCCCAATGGAAGTGCGACAAGCCCTGATGGCACTAACGCCGAATGGCGCCGATCGAATGGATCGTCTGCCGTACGCCCTCGCGGACGTGGGCGGGTTCGACTCGGCGAGCAGAGCGATCGCAAGGCACTACTAGGCAGGATCGGATGCGATAAGCCGACCTAGGTGCGCCATGTTTCAAATTAACTTATTTTCTTTTTTTAACGTTATCATGGAACCGATATGCAGCGATGCAGATATAAACGACTAAGACAGCTTTGAAAAAAAAAAAAAAGAGAGAGAGAGAGAGAGAGAGAGAGAGAGAACACAGACACGTTTTCCACTAACCCACCATGCCCACTCCGGGCTTCTATCAGCAAGTTTCTATTTTTTACGTTTGATACCATGGATTGGGTTGATCGTATAACGAGGCGTGAACGAGGATGGACCGTTTATGAGTTGCGTTTCCTGGACTTTATTTACATTTACCCTTGCCGGCATGTTATTAAATTATGTTTGTTCCACAGATGATGCTTGGAAGTCTGATCTCGAATGTGTGGAGGCTTTCCTTATTATTAATGGTTAGAGTGCAATCCAATACCCACCAAGTGATTTGAACTGGTTATCACGACATGACATGAATGTGTATGTATGTACAGCCAGATGTATAATAGATTCATAGACCCCATACGGATGAGTCTTGCCATCTTTACGGACGTCAAACTTAAGAGAAACCATACTGGACCCGTTTTGCAAACTATGCCAAGGTATCTTTCCTCTGTAACGTTGATTAGGTTAAGCTTTCCGGACTGTTGATTACTAGAAGCTTTTACACGATGTTCAAGTTCCAAGGTTCGCGGGATGAAGACCACCCACCCTTGCTTTTTCGGTCCGTGACCAGGGATAATTAATTGATTGGTAGATCGAGTAAAGCTATCACAAGGTTTCAACCAATCTCTAGAGACCGACTCTTCCTTCCTATGATTTGACCCCACACCGATGTACATCATGATGGATTAAGCTCTATATATAACAGTTTGAAGGGGGGTGAACGTATCATTTCGGAGAGTGAATGTTGAAATGAAGTAACAAAAGGAAAATACCAAATGCCTCTACAGCTAGCAAAAAAAGAAAGGATGAACCAAAAAGGCCCTAATGCAAGGCAAGTTTTCTTTTCTCATGATATCCGTTACCGTAATCATACTCGTCATCATCATTAGTATCATGGATTGACTGTATAGCAAAACACTGCATTCAGGTCTGCCAGTCATGTAAGGATTGGTACATTTGTCTCTAAATATGGTGTGAAAGTTCTGAGATCAAAGTCCAGAATATCTTCGCGCATTTCGTCCTCATTCCAGAAGTATTCGGCCGATCGCCGGCGCTTCTGCTGTCGAGCCGCGAGGGCTTCTTCATTGACTTGGTCTGTCCCAAGGGCACACTCCTGTTGTGTTAGAATGAAATCTATTAAGACTTGCCGGAGACGGTCCCAGATCGTCCCCTGTCGTTTCCATTCCAGACGTTTGGCGATGCGGACCATCCGGGAGACGATCCAGCATCTCTCTCCTGCGTCGCAAGCATGGTTGTTTGAATAGCCACCGTTGTTTAGGAAAAGCCATAGTACGGAGGTAATGCTGGGGTTCGTATAAGGGTTGAGCTTTTTTATCTCCAAGTCCAGCCAGTCAAGGTACCGGTCGAAGTTGGAAGACGTTGAGTAACAATCGTATAACGCAACAGCCAGGAAGAAGAGACATGACATGCATGTGAATTCGTCAATGAACCGCACATCGCGTATCCCATGGTCGTAGTCTGGGAGCATAGTGAGGATCGAATATAACTGGGTGCCAGGGCCAAAGCGCTTGTTGCGGTGGCCGGTATTGCTAGATACCATGATGGAAGGTGATTCAAGTGCAGTGTATTCCAGCTCATGAAGGCGGCGGAAAAATCTTAAGAAATCTTCACATGCCCGGAGTTGATCACAGAGGCTTTCTGCACCTTCCTCTGTTGCGAAATGATGGGGGATAGCAAAATGGATGTTAGTGTCGACAAAATCAAGTCCAGCAGGAGGACTATCCGGTAAGGTTCCAGACCAAGGTAACGAGGTACCATATATCGCCTTTGGAGCGCAACTGAAATCAACCCTACACGGAAATTAGTCGATGGCTACAATGGGATAGGGGATCGAGGCTGATGTTAAGATTACCAGTATAAGACTTTCTCCAGGAAAGGGCTCGAAGCTCGCATTCCTTGCATCCCTCCTCGATTTTTGATCATTGACGCTAATCCCCTGAAGTGCATCCGTTCTATTGAAGCATCCTTCGACCATTTCTTCACAGTGTCAGCTGCTGGAATAAACAAGCAAGGATGAAACCTACCTCGATAACAGCCATAGTAGCCACAGCGTAGATAGTCCCATCATGCTGACCCATAGAGTCTGCTTGGATGCGCTCATTCATTAATCGTAGCGCTCGCATTTTGTGAGTGAGACTTTGGACAGATTCCGCCTTTCCTTCTACGCCCGCACGATGCTTAGAGGCAATGGCAAGCATGGCTTGAAAAGGAAGTTCATCATGTAATGCGAATTGTCGGAATATCTCCATCAAGGGATTGTTCGCAATGGATTCGGCGAATTTATACATCATAGACGGATAAGTCACCACAACTTCAAATTGTAAGCTCCCAGCCATATCATAGAATTGAAACCCTAGGGGAGCCTGGACATCCGCTGCTTCCACTACTCTCAACTCATACCAAATCTACAGGCAAATTCAGGGTGTGAGAGGATCAGGACTTACAGTGCTGGATCAATTCATGATCTACGTGGCTAACTGAGATCGGGTAGCAGCTAAAGGGATCTCGCCTGCCTCCTTCTCCAGGAGACGCGCGAGGGTCAGACGTTGTGTAGTTAGCAATCGGAGGAGAAGTCTCCTCCTCACGTTTAACCTTGTGCAGTTTTGGTATCAGCAACCGTGAGGGTCTTCTAGTGTGTTCTGTATTATTCTGATCCTCATTCTTAGTAGGAGATTCTGCTTTGACCTTTGTATAAGACTCCTCTTGTACTTCTTCCACGCGGGAAGAAGTGTTTGATACATGAGTATCAGACGGAGGACGGGTGGTCCAACCGCCAACAGGTATACGAGATGGCCCTAGGCGAGCAATACTGTCCAAACGCCGCTGATGCATATATTGACGCATAGCATGACGGCGTACCTGACGCCGAGACTCATTATCCGTAACTAGCACAAACTCGAAGTTTCTGGACTGGGAGGCCAGCGGACCCGTCCTGGGGGATTGGTTGTTCTTGGACGGCCCTGCCCCGTTGCTCGCATGATTGCTAGCAGGCTGAAGTGCGTATTGGTCCGCTGAACTAGAACCATTTGAATCTTGGAAGTTGACATCGGGCTTTATTCCGGGCCCAAAGTCCTTAGCACCCTCCCCCTCCATCGTCTCATGGTCCAGGCGCGGCCGGCTAAAGTTGGATGGTAAAGCTCAAGCCGCGTGCTGGAAGCAGTTGAGTGGAGAACAGCTTGCCGGTGGGGAACGCCGCTCGTTAATCGGATAAGTAAGAAACCTTCATCCCACACTGAGATCACTAGGGGCGGCATCCGAGATCCTGGTGCATATCAAGAGTGTCGTGTTAGAACCAAAACTTCCAATGTTGGCCGTCTCCCCGATTTCCCCTTTCGGTACATTGCCCCACCATATCCACACGTGATTCATCCTTGCGTCTGACTCAGCAGCGTCTGTGTTTCTCCAATCCTCATGAGAATTAGAGCCCTAGGTTGGGTGTCATGCTCATACAAAAACATTCCTTTTCGCGATTTAAATGCAGGGGAGTCGTGATAGCTAGGGATTATCGTGCCCCATGCAGCGCTGTTGCTTAACATTAGCCTAAGAAATAAGCTCCACATGGCGAAGGAATCAGTTCCGCAGCCTCCCCGTGGGGAAATCAGCTCGTTCTCACCCACTTTAGAGCTCTGCTATCAGAACTCAAGGTGTGTAACTGGTTCACTGAGCTATTCTAATGACTGCCGAAAAAAAAGGTGTATACTGAGGGGCTCATCTTGATTATAACCAATCTACTCCACAAAGAAAAGGTCCTGCGCAAAGGACCACATAAGCAGTAGGGACAACACAGTTTCAAAGCTACCTTTGTTATGTGGCGTCTCATCCACCTTTGACCTCGTCCACTTAGCAATGGGCCACGAACGCTGCTATCCAGTCCTCAGGAACGCCACAGTATCCATCAAGTTTGAATCTATGTCGCTTATTATACTTGAAATTGATTTCACTTAGCGCGAATGCATTCATCTAGGTGCACACAGTGTAAGCAACTTAACTTTGTGTATTGGAAGCGAATTCATTTATCCGCCGCTTTCTCTAAGTTTTGCCAAAGCTGTCACTATACCATCACTCATTCCTTCCTCCCGAGCAGCTTTGTCTGGATGGACACGTCCAACGAGGTTTTCCTGAGACCCCACATGCGCGCCTTCTGATTCTGCTGCTAACATTGCCTCTTCATCCTCATTATTTATATTCGTTGAAGTTGACATCTTGCTGTTTTGACTCGTCGGCTCGTTGTTCTTTTGACCACTTAAGTTTTGTGCAGGCGCCGTTGTTTTTCCCGATGCCTCCACCCTAAAGTCCTCTCTTACCGCATTACACCATTGTCGAACTTTCTTCTCACCCCAGCCGGGTACAGCGCTGATCTGTTCTGGCTGCGCGTTGATAGCATTTTGCAGACTTCCAAATGTGGAGATGAGACTTGCCGCATCGGACTTGTTAATGCTTCTGGGAGCCGTGACAAACTCAACAAGTGACTCCTTATACGACTGTGCTTGCTGGGTGCGGATTGCAGTTGGTTGGGAGTTTTCGGAGGACTTGAATAATTCTAAGTAGTGCGCAGCTTCAGGAGCGGACCAACAAAGGGTCAGGGTGAGGTTGTTGATGATTGAGGTCTTAGATAGCTCCTTCAAACTATCTTCATGGTTTGGAATGTCTACCATAATCAGGAGAATACGAAGCAGATACTTCCCTGCGAGAAGTCGGATTCGAGAATAGATGTATTCAGGATGTAAGCGGTGATATTTCAATGATAGGAAGAGGGCACACGTAGTGGCCCCAACCACGTAGTCAGCCGGGATATCGGCATATTCCCAGGGCAGAAGTTTGATATGATTCAATATTGGGTTGCCCTTTTGTCTCGTCGAAACAAGGATAGCCGAAGGGGTGCTTCTGCTTGGCAGGACCTGCGGTTTTGGCTGCTGGACTTTTGAAGGCACTGACACTGTTGATGTTTGCCTAGATGCAGAGGCCTCAGGCCTTGGGGTAGAACTTCCTTCTACATTTGAAGGAGAGTCAACCCCCGTACTTTCGCCATACTCATTGACCATGACTTTTTGGACGGCGATAAAGGCGGGACTTCAAAAGCGGTACTCGTATCTTAGTAACTCAATCACTATCTAATCGCAGTCGCCGTGCTCTCTTCACCGCCTAGGCCCACTTTTATCTTCAAAACCATCGCTGGGAATTTTTCTGCCGCTGATTTTGATGCAAGGCAAAAAAGAAAAAGAGCAAAGCAATCTAGATTGCAGTGATGGCTGGAAGGAACGAGACTAGTCATAAAAGCCTCCCGGAAGGCAGAGGGGATTCTGAGGAGGTGGAGGCTGCCCTGGATACCGCGAAGAATGACACAGTCCAGGAAGAATCGGTCTCCAACAAGCCTAGAAGAACTTTATTCGTTCGATCTCTGCCCGCCTCTGCGACGACCGAGAAGTTGGCGGAATATTTTTCGCAGTCCTACGTTATCAAACACGCTTTGGTTGTCAATGATTCCGAAACAAAGCAGTCCAAGGGATATGGTTTCGTGACGTTTGCTGATGTTGACGATGCGAAAGCCGCTCTGGAAGAATTCAGTGGATCCGTGTTCGATGGGAAAAAGATCAAGGTTGACTACGCCCAGCCCCGTCACCGTACAATCGATGAAAATGCGGGGAAGAGTGTACCATCATCTGCTGCACTTGAAGCTAAAAAACAGAGAGAGCAAGAGAGGGCTGCCACTCAGCCGCCCAAACTGATTGTTCGCAACTTGCCTTGGAGCATCAAGGAGCCGGATGACCTTGCGGTCCACTTCAGAAGCTACGGGAAAATCAAACATGTTAATCTCCCAAAGAAGGGAAACAAACTTGCAGGATTCGGTTTTGTGGTTCTGAGAGGAAAGAAGAACGCCGAGAAGGCACTGGAAGCTGTCAATGGAAAGGAGGTGGATGGGAGAACTTTGGCTGTCGATTGGGCCGTGGACAAGGCTGTCTGGGAGAATATACAACAAGACAGCCAAGAGCAGGAAAATGGAGAGGAAGAAGTGTCAAGCGACGCTGAGATGGCAGACGACGCCGAGGCCGAATCTGGTATTGATGATGATGAAGACCTCCCCGGAGACGAAGATATGGATGACATCGATCAGAGTGACGAAGGGGAAGACGAAGACGAAGACGAGGAGGAAGAACAGGAAGAGAAAGAGGATGAAAGAACCGCTGCCACCGTGTTTATTCGGAATCTACCATTCACCTGTACAGATGAGACGCTCTACGAACATTTTACTCAGTTCGGACCCTTGCGCTATGCACGCATCGTTGTCGACCCGGAAACCGAACGCCCTCGCGGAACAGGCTTCGTTTGCTTCTGGAAGGTGGAGGATGCAGCGGCGTGTGTGCGCGATGCTCCAAAACAACAAGATACCATTGTCCCAGAGAAGGAAAAGGCCAAAAAGGGCTCCATCGCATTCAAACATTCCGTCCTTCAGAATGAGAATGCCGACCCAACTGGGCGTTATACCTTGGACGGCCGAGTGCTGCAGGTTTCCCGTGCTGTGAGTAAATCACGAGCTACACAACTGGCAGAGGAAGGTGTCTCACGGCGTCTTGTTCGTGATACTGACAAGCGTCGCCTGTATCTTCTGTCTGAGGGCACTATCCCCTCGGATTCCCCGCTGTATAAGAAGCTCTCACCGTCTGAGATTAAGATCAGAGAGGACAGCTTTAAGCAGCGACAAAGTTTTATCAAGAAAAACCCAACGCTTCATCTTAGTTTGACGCGACTGTCCGTTCGAAACGTCCCCCGCCATGTCACCTCAAAGGATCTGAAGCAACTCGCTCGACAAGCTGTTGTTGGTTTCGCCCAGGATGTCTCTGCTGGCTTGCGCCAGCCCCTGTCCAAGGATGAGCTACAGCGTGCTTCGGAAGAGATGAAGGAAGCTGAGCAGCTCAGAAAGAAGAAAGGCCTTGGTGTTGTGAGACAAGCCAAGATCGTTTTCGAAGGACGGGATGGAAGTAAGGTCGAGGAGAACAGTGGCGCCGGAAGAAGTCGAGGTTATGGTTTCGTCGAGTATTTTACCCACCGGCATGCGTTGATGGGACTCAGGTGGCTCAACTGCCACGCCGTCGAAGCCCCCGCAACCGGCTCTGAAGATGCTAAGGACAAAAAGAAACGACTCATTGTTGAATTTGCTCTTGAAAACGCAAATGTCGTCAAACGCCGCCAGGAGCAACAAGAAAAGATGCGTAATTTCAAGAAAGGTAGTCAGAAAAATGGGGATTCTAAGGATGGCGACTCCCAGAACAGAACAGCACCAAAGGGCAATAAACGAAAGCGCTCCGAGAGCAATAGCGACCAAGGACAGGGTGGAGCAGATACGGAAGAACAGAACAAGATTGCCAAACGCAATCGTATCATCGCAAAGAAAAGAATGCAGCGGAGGACTCGGAAGGGAAAGGCGTAGTTGGGGCTCAAAAGTTATAGATGGCTAATTTTGCACACAACATTTGATTTATAATTACTCATGCTTCAGTTTTAGACGTGGTTTACCTTGAAAGACGCGGAAGCATCTGTGATGCTCCATAAACATCTGAAATCAAAATAGCTCAAATCCCATGGGTATAGTACCTATTCCAAGGCGTAAAGATAGCTGATTCCGCATCGCCCACTTGCCTCTAGCATCAGTAGTTTGTAGCGTCTTTCACCTTTCCAACAATATTATACCTATTGCTGAAGAACGTGAACCACTCATCTAAAACCGTCTTTTCCTTATCTTCGAGATCGTACCAATCTGGTCTACAGTCCTTCGGGTTCAGAGACGAACAGGCCAGAGCTCGAGAAGGGTCTTTTCCTGCAAAGACTGCAACATTTGTCAGAGTAGATTTTGACTACCGGGGGGACGGAGATGACCTACCACGATACGAACCAGCTGGGCCATAGGCTGAGTTTTGGGATACGTCGAAAACGATACCCTTGATGGCGACCCAAGTCGGACGGTTGGGATCCGTACCTAGCGGTGGGATTATCCTCGGTCAGCTTAACATCTCGGTGACGGTGTAGATAGACTTTTGAGGTACTCAGCATCGACTGGAAGAGAATACGTACCGTCGCACTTTTCCAATTCCTCCACGGTAATTGGATCATCCTTGGGGGGATCGAGTTGAACAGGAACCTTGGGTTTGAAACGTTCAGCCATGTTGATACAATTTTGCAAAACAAATTCGTATCTTTCAATGTGGATCGAGTATGGATCAGAAGCTGTTATAACGTTTTTCGGTGTCGGAAAGTCGATAGGAGTCGGGCCGACACAAAACGCGGGGCTGGTAGGCGGGGGGGAAATTTGATGCAAAGACCGACATAACCGTGGGTCTGACCGTGTTTGACGTGATTCAATTTGAACCATGTGCAAGATACCTCGTTTATCATCCTCCTCGTTGAATTGCGGCCATGTAATTGGCTGACAATAAGGGTTTGTACTAGTAGGTACTGTTATCCATCAGTTTCGAAATAGAGTTCAGCAACAGATTGGTTGTTTTATCGATATGTAACGTTCAAAGATCTTTTGGACTATAAAGAAAGAAAGAAAAGTCACTGGAACTGTCGCGTGGTCGAACTGACGTCAACCGCCACCAACCCCTGTCCCTCAAACCATATATAAGTAGAAGAACTGTATCCAAGCGGAAAAGAGTGGCTCGAAGCTAACTTCTCTGATCACTTCCTTGATCTAAACTACTTTCAACAATACTCCGTACTACCTTCAACTATCCTCTAATCCAAACCGCTCCACAGTGGAGATTGGTACGTTGAGAATGTCTTCTTCACTGCAAGAACCTCAAGGGAGCTCGCACACTCTAAGCTCGGTCTCGCAAAACCAAACGCCTCCTGGAAATATCAGGAGATCCCGTGGGGCGAGCACTGTTGAACCTGACATGTCGCATTATCTTTACTTTGAAGATAACGATTGCTTCTTCCCGCCAACCGAGTTGGGCCAGAAACCACCGAGACAGGGAGAGGAACGAGAACCAAGGCAATCGCCGATGGATGCGGAACAACCACGAGTCCCAGAGGAATGAGAGCCGAAACAATTGTTATTCCAAGGTTTGAAGCTTAAACTATCCTACTATAATGTAATAGCTAATTCACTGATAAAGGCCTGCCGAGGAATCGTTTATACTGCTCTATCTAGAGTCCAACCCAGGAATATATAAATAATTAGGCTGTACCTTTCATTGTTGGAGGCCATTTCATACTACAGTATTACGGGTAGTACTTATAGTGGTATGGTGTTTGATTGTCTAAAGATTCATTTGATTCCTACCAGGTAGCCCTGCTTACCTATGAGCACCTTTTTTTTTCCCCCACCCTACTCTTCCTTCTGTTCTTGGTAAGGAAATTCAATCTCAATCTCGATAGCAAACATTATATGTATTCAATAATACACCAACATTGTCAACTGTAGGTAAAGAAAGTTTTCAGGTCACGGTACAGTAGCATGTGAATCCATGATTTTAGAAGACGCTACCGGAAGAATCCATACGGAGAAAGTAAATGCAAGCCAAGTGGACCCTCTGGCCTTTAGTTAACCGCAGGTTAGATCGCAACCTAATCAATTCCCTTTATTCTATCTCAGTATTAGAATTTCTTCTAAAATAATGACGAGGATTCTTCTCTGGGCCTAACTTTGTGAGTGAGACTAGTTACTGCCCCCGCTAAATCTATAAAACGGGCAGGGACTCCGTACTGGATTGACTGACAAGCAGTGAGTGACACGTTGAAATGTGCCCCTCCAGCAATGCGCCCCACGCGGGTTGCATTCCAACGCACCTAATACGGTTGAAGTTAGCCCCCTTACGGTGGGACATAATTTCCACATTGGAATATGATTCTACTTAAGACGCTTCAAAGACTGCCCCTTCTCCCCCATGGGGCACTGGGAAACGATTCCCTGTACGGATCCCTTGTCCTCCGCGTTACTCGAAAGATAGACGACCACGAAATCATGGTCATGATTCCAAAGACTGACGCAAGGGCTGATGGTGCAGCCACTTAGATCAGAAAATGAGAGTATGCGCTTGCTCCGAAATCCCATTAACCTCGGATGGTGCGCATCTGTCCGCTCTTGTGGGGATTCCTCCACCGTAGGTGAGCTTCTACCATATTTTCGCTGAGCGGTGATTTGCTCATGAGAACCTTTCATAGTCACTACTACTGTAAACTACTGCACGTCTGGTTCTTATTGGTTTTTTGATCCTTCTTTTTTTTTTTTTTCTTTCTCGTTCCCACAAAGTCGGGTATACTACTACGGCGATACCATGATCATTTGCCCTACTCAGCTAGTTTGCAAAATTTCTCACACGCGCCTCCTTCCTTAACCCTCTGGTTACCTTGCGTCTCCCTCTTTTCTTTTCTTTCCTCCGTATATACAACGTATCCCCTCTTTAACGCTACAACTCGCATCAACACTCTCAACCCTGAGGGCCAGTAGTAATTGGCTATGGTCAACTCTGATTCAGACCCTGAGCGTGCCCAGGGTCCTGTCGCAACCTCCTTCCACCATGAAGAGCTTTCCTTTTTACCGGCGGACAAGCTGACGAGGCGGATGGGCTCTCCAATGGACATCCCTGAAAAGAACCCCGCGATGAACCACAGTGAAGAGTCACTCGATGCTGGATCCAACATACTTACCAAGGACGGCACGCACCGATTTCTCAAATCACGGCATATCCAGTTGATTGGTATCGGAGGTACAATTGGTACGGCGCTTTACGTCCAGATTGGCCAAAGCCTGCTTAATGGTGGTCCCGCCAGTTTATTTCTGGCATTCACGATATGGTTAGTCTTCATAACCCTTGTTGATGCACTCTTTTACCTGTCGCCGTGGCTTGTGTTTGAATGGGGTTACTGCGTCTCAAAGAACCTTAAAATATTGGTGAGTCTATACGGGCAGCAAAAGAACGAATATTACTTCTCGTTTAAGATTCCAGTTTGCAAAGGAAATAAGATGCGGCGCCAATGAATACAAAGCAAAAGCATAAAACACCGCTCCACAGATCCTCAAACCACCGTGACATGCACCGCGGTTTTGGAAGAGACAAACAGAGCCCAGACCCCATGTTCTTTCCCACACAAGTCCCATTTGCTACTTCTATATCTGGGGCCGTGGAGTCTTATACATCTCTTTTCTTAGGTGCTCTGTCATTCTAGCTATAACTGTTTGTACGAACTCCCAGCCCCCCAAGCTCCGAAATCCTTGCCTGTCTTCGTCATTACCGCCAGCAGCATTTCCCTCCCAATGCAGTCCTCTCGGTGGATGGCGATAGGTCTCCATAAGCGCCACGTTCCCCCGTGTGTCCATGTCCATAGAATCCACCAGCTTTCACGTTCCCAATTTCCCATTGCGGCTATGCTGGTCTACCCCAATGCGATTGCTCTTCCATGCGCTTCCGTTATGTAGCATTTACTGAACCACAGGAACTCCTAGGTCTGGCTGAGATGGTTGTATACCTTCCCGTCTCCTCTCCTTTCATCCACTTCGCTGGCCGCTATGTCGACGAAGCCTTTGGGGTAGCAGCCGGCTGGAATTTCTTCGTCTTCGAAGCTGTGCAGGTGCCATTTGAAATCACCGCATGTAGTATGATCATCCACTACTGGAGCGATGTGGTCCCAACAGTTGCAATCATAGTCATTGTGCTTGTGCTCTATGCGTGCGTTATTCCTCATGCGATTAGGGGCACCGCCGTGGAACTTCGTTTCTAACCCATAAAACAGATTCCTGAATGTCTTCGCCGTGAACTACTATGGTGAAGCCGAGTTTTGGCTTGCTCTGGGGAAAGTCTTACTCAGTATAGGTCTGATCGTCTTCACATTCGTTGCAATGTTGGGTGGCAATCCCCAAAAGGACCGATTTGGGTTTCGCTACTGGCAAGAGCCTGGTTCATTCGCAGAGTATTACAAGACGGGGGACCTTGGGCGATGGTTAGGATTTCTGGCTTGCTTGATCAAAGCGAGTTTCACAATTGCGGGCCCCGACTATGTGTCAATGGCCGCTGGAGAAACGGAGAATCCACGAAAGGTCTTACCGAAAGCATACAATGGCGTCTTCTACCGACTCACGTCATTCTTCGTTCTAGGAGCACTATGCGTGGGTATTTTGGTCCCTTATAATGACCCGACCATGGTCAATGCATTCGAAAAGGACCTACCTGGCGCGGCTGCATCACCCTATGTCATTGCGATGGACAGACTGGGTATTCCGGTTCTACCGCATATTGTCAATGCCATGGTCCTTGGAGCCGCCTTCAGTGCAGGAAACAGCTATGTCTACTGCGCCAGCAGATGCCTGTATGGACTTGCGCTGGACAACAAAGCGCCAAAAGTCTTCAGGAAATGTACGAAGAATGGCGTCCCCATCTACTGCGTGGGGCTTGTCCTGCTGATTGCGCTGCTAGCCTTCCTGCAGGTCTCCAACAGCGCATCAGTTGTGCTCAATTGGTTTATCAACCTGGTAGGTCACCCCATAACCATCTCAAGGCAAGCGACTAAACCATGCATCAGGTTACTGCGTCGCAATTGATTAATTTCTCGGTCGTTACATTCTCCTATACCCGCTTCAGGAAGGCGCTCATCACGCAAAATGTTCCCCGCAGTTCTCTCCCTTATCAAAGTCTCGGTCAGCCTTACGTTGCCTATATGGCCCTGGTCTGTACGATAGTCATGGCGTTTGTGGGTGGGTATGAAGTCTTTCTACCTGGAAAATGGGATATTCCCACCTTTTTCTTCTCGTACACGATGATTGGAGTATTCCCAATCATTTTCTTTGGATGGAAACTTTGGCACAAAACCCAGGTTCGAAAGCCTGAAGAAATTGATCTCAAGACCGGACTCGATGAAATTGATGAGTATGAAAGAAATCATGTGTCGTTGCCTGCGAGGTATGTGCTATCCATTCTATCTGAAGGATTTCCAACTCCGCTGTTATTTTTACACCGCTAAACATCCTCATAGCAATATATTCTCGAGGTTTGCCGATTGGATTTTTGGCTAAGGCTGTACATGCGCCTCTGCTTTTTTGGTGGCCTGTTGTCCAGGAACTTCAGCTGTACGGCATTACGAATTGAACGGTTTAACATCGATATATCTGTGTAGCTCTCATCGTATAGAGCTTATTAAAACTGTAATTGTATGCGAAGCCTAAAATGTGTTGGATTATTATACATCCGGAATCAATCTATGAATCAGAAAATGCTTGCCGGGCACCTAAAAGCATCAGTCTGCAACTCCTACTCTGTAGAACCAGCGACCCTCCCACTGCTCCCTGGGCTTAATTGCCCTCTTCCTGCGCACCCTGAGCAGCCTTTAGTGCCTCCATCCGTTGCTTGTTTCTCTTCCCTAGCACCCGCAAGGTATTCTTTTTCTCTATCTCCGTCATCTGCGCCCAGTTCGCGATCCGTGATAACGTTCCATCCTGGTTGACCACCAACGGACCCAAGTGATCCAATTTCACCGTCGACCCATCACCGCTGACATCAAGCTGCTGTGTCTGATCGGCGCTGCTGGAGTCGGGAAGAGCGAGGTACTGCTCTGCTTTCTTTTCGGTGGCGGAGTCGGTAGCGGCATTCTCGGGTTGTTGCTGCTGTTGGGTTTGCTCAGTGGCCGATGACATTGTGGCGTAGGGCTTTTCTTGATAGAGATTGGAGGGACACTGGGGGTAGGCAATCGGTGTACGGATTAGTCTTTGAGAGAGGATTGTCGCAGGTGCGATTGTGGTTGAGGCGCGCGTCGGGATTGTCAGGAGTGGGTTTAGGACGAGATGTAGAAGTGTTGTGCGCGTTAAAATGGGTTTGTGCATGTCTTCTATCTGGGCCAGGTTTTCTGTTACTGCAGGTAAGTTTGGCCGATAAATAGATTGAGGTGTGTTGGTGGATTTGGTGGTGCGGGAGTTCGGTGGAACTGACGGAGGATTCTAGAACGATCATCCTTCTTGGTGCTTCGGAGGTACGTATGACGTTGTTTTGGATATAACCTCCAATTTGTAATTTTCTACCTGTTTACATATGTAAAAATTCTCTAGTCGGTAGAATATATTGAATAATATGGAGACTGTTTACTCTGAAATTTATCTAAACCACCAATTGACCTATGATGCGTCAGAGGACGGATGACATGCAACATGTAGATAAAGAAGGGAACTTACCGAAGCAGTGACACCATGTCCTACCCCCTTAATGCTATGCCACCATCCTTTAGGAATGAACATCCCATCACCAGCCTCCAGCTGTGCTTCGTATCCGATATACTTGCGTTCCGAGCTGGCCGTGTCCAAGCTATCGTCCCAAACCTCCCTCTCCAGCAGTGTCCTCTCTCGTCCCTGCATCATTTCTGACCCTCGAAACACAGCAGCCTCGCGATTCCCACTCCTCCCTAGTTGCCTTCTCACCGACGCGAACAGCGCTTGTCCATGGTCGGGAGCAATTAACCGCACAACTTTTCGTCCGGCAAGTTGAACGAACAGGTTCGGGTTGGGATCACGATGAAGGGGGGTGTATGTAGGCGGATAACCAATCCATACATTGGTATCGTAGACATCACCGTTGCCCGCCTGGGACACAAGCTCGGGAGTCGCAAAGTCGTCACGAAGCGTCTGTGGCAGATCGGATAGCTGGCATTGTGCTAAATACAGTCGAATCGACTGCGGCTGTTCCTCCGCTGTGCGCATCCATTCCAGAAAAAGTCTGAGAGGTGCATGGAATTGCCTAAAACTAATATCATCCTTGTCCGGTTCCATCGACGGCTGTGTGAGTTCTAATGGGACAAGAGCGTCTGCACCGTGCTGCTCAAGATATGCGGTATTCAATCGGGATACATTGGGCTCGGATGGGGAAGACTGGAACCAGCGTCCGAAGGCAGGCAGATCGCAGAAGCGACGGCGTGGGAGGACAACAGGAAGCTCGGGAAAGAAGTGCTCCTTGCGGAAATTCTCTATGCTAGCATCGTCAAGGATTTTTAAAGGGTGATACCCGCAAGGAGTTATGACGGAGGGAATGTTTTGGGTGTTCAATTGAGCATGTCTCCGGGTTGGATTGTTGAATCGTGCAACGGCAGATGGACGGCGGTACCAAACTCGTGGGTTACCGTTGAAAAGCCATCGCTGGACCGTCATTCAGGAGAGATGAGCGTCGTTTGTAAGCTTCGTCTGGTAAGATGTCTCAGGATCTCTCTGTACCTGAAGATCGTAGCTAAACTCGGGTGACAGCCGATCGGGGAATTTTGTCTTCCGGATTCCGAAGACTACGTAGTAGTACATTTATACATCCTTCCGTACAGGAATTGGCTAATAAGAGATCAAATTGTCACCAAAGTTTCGGAGCCCAAGTGCGCATTGATTCAAAGTACATACTAAATTCGCTGAGTCAGGTGTCATCTGCACCCTATATATCCCGTGAGGTACGGGACAAACCAATGGTTATTGACCTAATATCTTGGAAGCTTTTCAAATAGTCCTGACAGCTCATAATGATTCAGTGGCTGGGGTCTATTTTACAGTATAGTAACAGAGGCAAGCGATGACTACCGAACTAGAGTACTTTGGCTAGTATTTAACACCCCCAACGATTTATGAAGTATTTAGTAGGTATCTAGTTAAAATTGATTCTATACCCATTTACCAATAAATCTCACGGAATTGTCCGAGGTCCGCAAATCCTTGCCTATTCAGGGCTGGTGTGGTCTGGGGAAAACGGAAACCCCGCGCACCCAATTGAATGAAAGTCGCAAGGAATCTCTCCGCACCGGTTGCTGCCATCGCTCATTCCCATACCGGCTCATCGCACCCTAAAAGACCGTCAATATGGCTTCGGAAACCACTCCGGTAGATACAACGACGTCGAAATCGGCATCAGGCGACCAGAATGCCCCCGTGGAGGGTGATAGTGCGAAGCGGAAAGCGGAACAGACCAACGGAACTCATACGCGCACGAAGCGGAATCGTTACATCTCTATTGCCTGGTATGACCCCGGATCTGGATCGTCCGATCCTAACCCCTCTGGAGAACATGCCATATGCCATATGCCATATCGGTTTGTGTCTCGTGATATCTTGCGGCAGTGGAGCTGACTAGTCTCGGTACGGCACTTCCAGCAATGAATGCAAGCGACGGAAGATTAAGTGTAACGGTCAGGTACCGTGTCAACGCTGTGGGCACCTCAATCTCGAATGTTAGTAGACGGAACAACAGCCGCACCTCTGTCCTCCCAAGGGCCAGCGGTCCTCACCCCATGTGTCATGCGGTTAATCATGTTTTGATAGGTCGATATGCCCCTAATTGCTGCAACAATAACTTTAAGGATTCGGAGTATGTTGACCGAACTCCCCTGTATTCTGCGCCTACCACGGCTAATATATATCCACCCTGAATAGTGAATTCCGCTCAATGAAAGATCAGATTACGACTCTGCAGGACCAGGTCAATAGCCTTTTCAGTAGTCTAAGTGAGCTCCGTTCGCAGAGATCTTCCATTGATTCGCCGAACTTCGACAACTTCTCGCGAGATGGATCGCAGCCTGTGTTTACTTCTATGCATGCTGGGCTGGCCAAACCACGTGTGAGGCACCCCCGGTTCCATGGCCCCACGAGCTCGACTTTCAATTTCAATGTAGCAAGATCTAGCCTTCAAAACATGGGCATCGCTCCGACAGAAGAAGTGATAACTGACGACCTGACCACGGCTCATGCGACACCTGCTGGCTCACCTCCCCATGCTGCACCATTCGCGCCTCCTATTCATCCTACTAAAGATCCTATATGGGCCATTAAACGTGAGGATGCTATACGACTATGCCAAATCTACGAAGAAGAGATTGGGATCATGTATCCACTTTTCGAAATCGAAAAGGTGACACAGCAAATCAACCTACTCTACACTTTTATGGAGGCTGCAACACGCACTGGATTTGCACAACGAGCGCTGCCCGGCTCAGATGGTCTCCAAGACGACAATACAAACCTTATAAAGATGATTCTTGCTACAACGCTGGTTGTGGAGGGGGGTGGCCAGAGCGAGCTTGGTCAACGTCTTTATCTGAGTGTGAAACCGGTCATTGAGTCCAAGATTTGGGAGCCGTTAGACATTAGAACCATTCAACTCTTCGGCATCGTGGTATGTTATCCTGGTCCATCGCGCAGGCTTTTTGATAACTAACATCTCATGATTAGGCAACCTACCATTTCCATACTGACGACGATGCCATGGCCTACCGTCTCATCGGGTTAGCTGCTCGCATGTGCCTTGAACTCGGCCTGCATCGACGAGATGCGTTGGCGAAGTCATTTCCTAACGAAGATCAATGGCCAGAAATCATCAAGATCTTCTGGGCGATCTATAGCTTGGATAGGCGCTGGAGTCTTGGTACTGGGCTGCCGTTTGTTATTCAAGATGAAGATATTGATCCGAACTTACCAGAGCCGGTAGGATATGCTTACCACCGTCCCATCTGGGGTATCTGTCGCTAACAGACGTTTAGGATGCATCGCTGCCGTACCTAAGGTGTATGATTTCCTATAACCGCATTAGCTCAAAGATTTGGTACTCTGGACTTGGCTCAGAGGGAACAACGGACATACGTCGGGATGAAATTGGCTACTTGGACTATCAAATTCTCCAGTGGTACAAGCACGTTCCAGATGCCTTGAAGTTCTATCCAGTGCAGTCACCAAAGCATGGAGAGTCAGCGAACCGTGGCCTTCGACGACTACGTGTTCTGTTATATTTGCGCATGAACCAGCTTCGCATTCTTATCTACCGACCGGTTCTTCACTCAGCAGGTAGCATCTCCGAAGATAAGGGCCATGCCCAGACTGTGGTAGATGTTGCCAAAGATACGGTTCGCGTGCTTACACGGCTGAATCAAACTTCCGACATTTATCGCACTCAACAGATTACATTCAACTATTTTCTTGTTGCCGCTCTGGCTGTCCTTTTTCTCGCCGTTTGCCATGCGCCGACGGAGTTCAACCGGCAGGTCCGAGACGAGTTCTACATGGCACTCGATCTAGTCAACGGCTTTAGCACGAAGTCTTACGTATCGAAACGGTTGTGGAAGGCCATCAAAGGCCTTCGAAAGATTGGTGAAAGGCTGGGCGTGCTCGTGCGTCCCTTTGGGTCAGATTCTAATGACCCTCATTCTACGGCAGCTGTCGCCATGGCCGGTTTGGCTGGTCATCCGATTGAAGATCTATCGGTATATGGCCCTATGAATGGGGTGAATGAACTCGGAAATAGCCCATTAAATGGGCTTCAGATGAGCCATGAGTTGACAACGCTGTTTGAGGCTGTTGGAGGATTTGGCAACTTCATTGCGTCGAGCACAACGCAGGACGGGATGGGCGGGTTTGTAGGACCCGATGGCGAAATCCAAAACACGGGGGAAGGCCTTTCAGGAATTCTGGGAGACGATGGTGAATTATCACGAGCCATCAGGGACTTGTTCTGAGGGATACGCTTGTATGTATATCGATGCGGTGTGTATATAGTGACATTATTATTCTTTTCCAAAATGTCTCGCTCGGGTTTCCTTTGTAGGCGAACCTGACTAACAGTAGAAACCACCTTGATATAGTGTCAATAAAGTAACCATACTATATTTTCTAAGTGCAGATAACGGATGGTAGGAGTAGGAGGAGTACGTAGTCCTACAAGTAGATCATGGACGGTCGAGACCCAACCCTCATTCCCTGCACGTGACCCCGCATGGCTGCCGTCAGTCGGAGGGCTGGAGAGTTAACCTAAGTTCTCTTGCCAACCACCCATCCTCCTGAACCCCAATCAAATCAGAAGCCATGCCCAACTGATGACCTACGGTTTGTGAGACCACACCTTCGACGTTGAGGGATCTCTCCACTTCCATCTAGTCCGCGACGGCTACGGCAACTGGGACCGCTGGCAAACATCTTTTTCCACCGCCCCACGAAACCTAATTTCGGAGAACCCCTCGACTGCGGCGATCAATCACTGCACAATCAAGGAAGGGAAGGAGAGACAGGGACTCCCGGATTTTTTGCTCACTGTGTCCGCCAAGGATCGATAATTGCCAATATCCGAACTTTGTCTCCAATTTCCATGATCTTCTGAAGTCGTTTCCTTACTAGTGGGGGGAATTTATCGCTATCACGTCAACGCCGCCTCATCGCACAATAAGTCTCGTTTCGCACATTGTTATGACCCTTGGGCCTATCAGACATACTCGTTCGCTTGGTTCTTGGCCTCTAAGGGTGCTACAGTCTTGCCTTCATTGAACAAGGCTCCTAATCTCCTGGATCGGGGGATTCCTGGGCGAAAGCGACTTGGGCCGGGACGCAGTGTCAGCTGGTGCAAGTTGTCAGAGGCCTATCTCTTTACGAGATCACCCCAGAACGGTTTTTACCGGTAGCTCGGCAACGTGTCGAGAGAGACAGGTTCGGCGTTGGCCGACGGCCTAGACAGGCTGGATCTGAGTCAACTGTCAGAATCAACGCCCTCATCATCTGCGTCCGATTCGTTCGATATGTCGTCATCGGAAGGGGCCCCGGAGTCATGGATCTCCTCCTTTTGCTCCCTCATGGGCCATGAGTTCTTTGCCGAGGTGTCGGAGGATTTCATCGAAGATGACTTCAATTTGACGGGACTGCAGTCACAGGTGCCCATGTACAAGGAGGCATTGGAGATGATCTTGGATGTGGAACCAGAGGAGGATGAGGACGAAGAGGAGGAGGAAGAGGAAGAGGAAGACGAGGATGAAATATTAGGTGATGAGAAGCCCCCCGGGTATCGGCGAGCGGGTGACCGAAGGCATACGCGGGTGGCCAGTGATCTGAGCGTGATAGAGAGCTCTGCTGAGCTGCTCTACGGTTTAATTCATCAGAGATATATTACGTCTCGGCCGGGCATACAGCAAATGCTGGAAAAGTACGAGATGCAGCATTTTGGCGTCTGCCCCCGCGTCTACTGCAATGGATGCAAGGTTCTGCCAGTTGGTCGGTCCGATACTCCAGGTCAAGAGACGGTGAAGCTCTTTTGTCCGAGCTGTCAGGATCTGTATACGCCCCCAAACAGTCGATTTCACTCTGTTGATGGTGCCTTCTTTGGAACTACTTTTGGATGCTTATTTTTCATGACATTCCCTGACTTGGACATTGGCCCTCGGCTTGATAGCTCTCTTATATCGCCGACACGGTCATCTTCAGTAAATAACCAGGTCTCTCCCGACGTCCCCCCTGCTCATCAGCCGGTGGAGATCAACGGAGTGCGGACGGCCAATTTCTGCCCCGGACTTGGACTGGGCAAGATCTATGAATCACGGATTTATGGATTCCGGGTTTCGGAGCGGTCCCGGACCGGACCACGTATGAAATGGCTACGGATGAAGCCCACAGATGTTGAAGAGCTCAATGAGATGGCTCGATATGAAGCAGCTCGTAGGGAAGCCGACAACGACGGCGATACAGAAATGGGCGCCGCTCCTGCAGGAGGAGCGCAGAACTCGGCGATCGCAAAGAGGAAAAAGGCGCCTATGCGGAGACGGCGGTACAACCCTGATCAAATGAGCATTAACGGCGCCGAGGCGGGATAAACGGACAAATCAGCTATCATTATTAAAACTCTTTTGGGCGATGGGAAAGAAATATTTAGAAGGAAATTAGTGTGGAAGTGATTGAAGCGCGCATGTTGACTTTTGTGGTTCTTTTCCTTTTTAACCCTACTAGCTCGTGGCCCATGGTCCTCTCAAACATTAACTGAAGTTTTTCCCCCTTTCTTTTGTGTGTCTTCTTTTCGCCTATCATCCCACAACTTCCCCCAATTTCCTTCATCAACTATTCATGTATGTCTTGTCTATATTCACTGAATTATGTCTCATTTCTTTGACTGCATCAAGGCGTCTTCGGGTCGACTTTTCCGTCTTCCTGGCGTACAGATTCACGTTCGAGTACAGTACACAGAGCAATCATGGAATTAAAACATTGAATGTTGATGGCCCAACTGATTGTAGTTGATTATCGTCTTAATATACTCTCCACCAGACCATGCAATGACAAGATCGTACCGGCCTCGCCTACATTTCTACCTACCTTACTTATAGGCAAACACAAGACTTACACCATGTATCAGAAAGCTAGTTAGCTGTTCTTTCCTCGGATATAGTTCATGTTGGCCTTCATATCCTTGGATGTATGAATACTCTAGGGCTATGTTTTGTTTAGGTGTCTGTCGTGTTCTATTTAGAGAATGAATTTCAACATAAGTCTCTTCAGGAGGATGGTTCTACACGGGGTGAGAAAGGCAGAGCCAGAGGGCATCAGCTTTGGTACACTTCTATTCTACATATTCATATGTAGGCGATGTTTATAGCAGATGTAGTGAAACTCGTCTATTCATAACGGCACTGTTATTCATGAGCTATCAATCTTCGGTTGTTTCTTAGGCCCGGGGGAATTCGTAGGGCTGAAAAGTGCTTGCCTGGGCGATTGAACAGATAGAAATGGCATTTTTAGACTTGCGCACGCGTGCCTAGGCGGGACTTGTATGCATTAGCAACAAAAGCGATTATGAAGGTGCGTTGGCTTCAAAGAGAAAGAGAATTATCGAGACGTAGGCTTGAACTCGTTTATATGAGTTCGATTAATAGAACCAAGCACTAGACATATTTTCGGAGTCTCCAATTGAAGCGCTTGGGTTGCTTGAAAAAGTGCCATTTCCCTGCATGGAACGGTTCGTTTGACTATTAGTATACGTTTAGAGATTGCTACTAACCTCAGGAGCAGGCCCCACGGTAAGACTTCTGTGTACAATTGTAGGCGTGAATGGAAAGCTCATCGAAATCAAAGAGGTGTTTCCACTGAGTCAAGGAACATTTGGTTAGTTCGTAAACAGAAAGGCAGTGTAATTCATGCGCAGCTAGAGGAACGGTGAACAGTGCTTGATCTTTAGTCCACCATTCCATATGTTGAAGTGGATTGGAATCAACTGAGCATCATCAGTTGCTCGTCGAGATTTGAGAGTGTCAATACTCTTGGATATGGTTAATAGGTACAGCAGGTTAATGAGTACCTGTCCGACCCAGATGGGCTTATCACCAGCCACTATTTCACTTTGGGTAATTCAAACGAGTCCTTGGAAATCTCATGTACTTTTTTTTTGTATTTTGTTGGTGATACTCCCCGAGAGTAAGCTGAAGGGCTCGGGGTTTGTCCGAATGGAGAGTCGATCATAAAAGGCTTGGCTCGAGGGATTTCTCAGGTGGGTTACACTGTTAATGAGATGATTTGATATATTACAGATTCATAGGGATTCTTAATTAGGAAAGTGTCATCGTAATTTTCTTTTTGAGATTCTCTCTCTCTCTCTTTTTTCTTTTCATTTTTTTTCATTTTTTTTTTCCCTCTATCGGTAACGATTGATATAAAAACGGTGTATGTACTCTGTGTCTACGGAGTATGTGGATGTACTTTAGCGTATTGGATAAGCGACGATAGAAATAAGGTCTAGAATATGTCCCGTAATCTTCATCAATAGCCACGCGCGCATGCTAATGATGCACGCTAAGGCATGCACCGTCAATAGTCACTCATCATATCGTCAATTTCCCTCTCGTTGAGAATTACCCGAATCGTTAGTTAAGACCCCATTTTATCTCTCAACGACAGGGATTCTTCGTGTCTTTCGTATTCATGTCGGACAATCCTCTAAAAATCTCTCACGGAGAAGGGGTGTGTCAAATCATGCAAATTTGAATTACTGGATCAATTCCCGACAACTGTTCCTCGGGTTTCGCCGGTAACATAGACCTCAATAGACGAATTAATTGGCCTCCTTTGAGCCGCCTTGCGTAACCATCCTTGACGAATCCAAGACCGAAGTCGAGAGTTTCGATGCCACACTAACGCAAGGACAAAAGTCGACGGCTTAGCCGGATACGAGTTGTGACTATCAAGTATCACCACCACTTCATGGGAGTTGTCACGCATGAAATAAGTTCGAGATTAAATCCTAATGGTTCCCCTTGCTTTCCGATTGCCGGTTCCAATCCATGTAACGTCGTAGATACTACTTACTACCTTAGTAGCGCTGGATAACCCCCGTCTGAGTTAGATACGTACTGTGTATTGTCTCTGTCTCTGTCAAGGTGGGGAAGTATGTACCCAATCAATCATAAAACCCACCGGTACCAAAACCCGTGCGGGCTGTCAGCATTCAGTTTGCTCGCTCGCCACGCTGATTGGCTCGCTCGGGTGTTTTAAACTGGGGCCAACCTTCGGACCAAGAGGCTGATCATCTGTTGCTCTGTGTCATGATTTAATGGATATGGCATAAGGCTGACCATCAGTTCAAGTTCCGTGGCCCTTTAAGGCGGATGGCCTGTACCACGACAGGCCCCGAAATGAAGTTAATACGGTGGAATTTGACGCCATATCTGACAAACAAGAAAGACAGACTGAACGAGAGAGGGGCGGGGAAGGGGAGAAACAGAAATGGAAAGAAAGAAAAAAAATAAAAATAAAAATAATTAGCAATTTATCTTTTCCTCTTCCGACTAATAGTAAGTCCGAGATAGAGAGTTAATATGCAATGTATTTTCGGACTACCAATGATGCTTCGAGATAACCGGAACAGGTAATTGGCAACGGCTCATCCATCCCTATCATGTGGCTGAATTGTTGTTGCTGTTGACTTTCCAGCACATCTGCAACCATGAGGTCTCTCTCAAGGATCAGGTTGCCTTGCTGGTACCAGGGCATGCAGAGCCCGAACTGTTCCCCGAGATTTGACTGGGAGTAGGGCGGGATCAAGTCCCGTGTACGCTGTTAGGCAGAGGAGTGGTGGTTGTACAAAGGAGGCTCAAATTGATAATGGATCCTCTAATATCTTTGTTCATCATACTGGGTGGAACATTTACTTCATGCATAAATATTAGTATATACTCTTCCCACTAGTGGCTTAGGCTATGTAACTGTCCTGCACTGGACACCACATCCAATCTAGATAAGGGCCTCAAAACGAGTTTTCTTTCAAAAGTGTCAAAAGTGAAGAGCTAGAACATATCGTTGTCCACTCATTGTTCATTTCTCAGAAGTAGCAGTAGCACGAGGTCAGTGATTCAGAGTCCAGGATAAAGCTTGCAAGGCTGAAGCTAGTTTCTCAACAATTTCCACAGGATAATTGGATTAATTAATTCAACCCATGGGAATAGCCCCCATAGATGTATACATACATACAGCGTACCACGTCACCATGGAGTGGTGGAGGCGCAGCATGTTCGTTTCTCGCGCAGAGCCCCACTGCAAGCGCCTATTCCAGATTCCAGAGACCGAATCTTCGCAATCAATCTATTCCATGGGCCAAAGCCGACAGAGCAAATCAAATCAAATAAATTATTATTAATATTTTTTTTTCTTGAAAAAAAAAAATTTGTAATGTAAAATGAAAAATGAAAAACAAAGGGTATCCGCAAATTGAGTGCAGGGGGGTTCTGTTCTGGCCCGGGCGTTGGAAGGAGCCTTTTGATTTTACCGCGTGCCGGACGGATGGCGCCGGAATGGGGTCTGTCAAGGGTTATTATGCCTTGAAGGGTAAATGGGGGTCAATACCTAGGTGCCAATATTCGTCTGGAGCTACCTGCGTAAGTACTACGGAGTATACCCATACCCGCTTGAGTCCCCGCGAGATGTCACTTAGTTGAGCAGATTAACTTAAGAGCATATCGTCCAGGTATGATTCCTTTGGGGACAACCGGTAGGCAACCATACCTGAATCTGAAATTTGTTGCGATCACTAGGTATCATTGTTAGTTTAAAGGCTCACCCAAGGTTGAGGGAAGAGTATTTTTTTTTTAAAAAAAAAAAAAAGAAAGAAAAGAAAATGATGGTGGAACGCCTCAGGCTCCCACTAGAAGCACATCAGTCAACCAAGGCAAGTAATTGGCCGAAAGGTAAACCTAAACACAAGAAATTTAAAAAAACAAAAAAAAAACAAACAAACCGATACAGTTGAAAATATCTCCAAACAAGTTCAACAAGAACTCTCTCCAGTCTAGCCCAAAATCTAGCGAGCAGCCCGAAGAGGCCCGCAAATTGTTTGGGGGCCAAGCTGTAAGTATGTACAATCCATACAGAACCTAAGGCCAACCAACACCCAAGGAGCCACCGATTGGTCGAGACCCCATTGTCAATGGTTTCACCCCAAGAAAAAGAGAGGGAAAAAATAAAAGAAAAGAAGGGAGAAGAAAAATACACATGCACACACAAGGAACTTCAAGTCGTAGTCTGTGATAAGGCCAAGAAAGCATCAATTGTAGGAGAGTATAAATCACAATAATGATAATAATAACACTAATGATGAGAGACCACAGGAAGAAGATTGTATCGTGGCCATCAATGTTATGCCCCAAGATCAAGCTCCCATAATAACCGGAACGCCAACCGCAATGTATCAATCAAGCTGTCACATCACCCGAACCCAAGGCCCTGTAAAGTTGCGTCCTGCGATATGTCTTGTGATGTTTGAAAACAGATGGCATCCCATGCCCACCCATTATAGTCGAATGAATGAAATAAAACTCCACGGTGCACATAACCCAATTTATCATGCCAGTCGTTACAACGAATCATCGCCGAAAGCAAACCAAATCACGTCATTAAAATAGAGGGTACGAGTGGGGAGAGCACGGGTCCGACTCGGGAGTAAGAGGGCATGCCAGATTGGGCGGCTCCGCTGGTGTCGATGGGGAGGAGTGATCATCGCTGCAAACGTGCGACAGCGGCGGCATCTGAAGGAAGGGAATTAGTCTTGCTGAATGTGGGATTTCTTGCAGATCGGCTCAATGAACGGGGAGGGGTATGTACAGGGATATTGGACTCCGAAAGGTGTTGAGAACTCGGACACAAATCGATGCCAGCCATGGATGCGTAGCTCATGCTAAACGGGCTCACAATATCTTCGTCCGCGTAGACATGCGGCCTTTTGACTGGGCCTGCCGTAGTCATTGTGACGGGGAGAATAGATGGTACTGATGTCCCATACTCTCCGTGATACATATCACTGTAGGTACTCGGGATCGAATGATAGGGATGTGGCTGTCCATATGGGGACTGCCCGTAGGGTTCCAAGTGGGAATATGAAGGATAAGAGTACACAGGCGGGGGTGATGCGGAGAGCTGGCGCGTACATTGATGGGAGAACATCGCCCCCCTGTCATCATGTGCTGCAAAACCATCATAGGCTGTGATCCTCTCTGCTGTAGCCCGTCTCGTGGCATCCCCGTTCGACTTGGAAGCGCGAGAGTTCCTAGTACGAGGCTTGGCGGGATGCGAACTCTTCGGCACTTCAGTCCTTTCGTTGGACCGTTCTGGGGATTCTGAAGCTGAGGCAGCCCTCTTCTCAAGATCCTCTAGACGGCGCTTGAGCTTTTTGCCTAATACAATGCCCCAGTCAGAATAGATGCCCATATCATTTTCTCGATAGCGGCACACTTACGATAATTGCGCTGCGCAATTCGGTTTTGAATACGCCGCCGCTCGGCAAGATCTGATATCTTGGTCCAGTCTTCGTTAGGATTGGCATTCGGACTGAAGGCACTGCTGCTGGCGTGACTCGACGAGCCTCTTGAACCGGTTGTTTGGTAGGTATGACTGCTTGATCGGTGCATCTTGGGCAGATAAAGGATGTGGGGAAGAATAGCGGAGGGAAACGAGCAACTCCCAACTATATATGATATGATAGTGGAACAGAGTTTCGTCCGTCTACGATTGGTAGACTTAATGAGATCAAAGTAAAATCGAGGAAGAGCGGCACAAGAACAAAGAATGGAAGAAAGATTGGCTATATAGATTCAGATTCAAGTGGTCAAAGCCGTCAATGATGATTTACCATCGGAACCTAAAACAGAGAAAGGAATCACGTAGTATTTAAAGAAGAGTTGGAGCCATGGCCAATCCACTAGAGAAACAGCCTACATGTAACTCATTGCTTGCTAAGCCCCGGTCTCCGAGTCCAAAACAACCCATGACAGCGATTGAGCCGTTGCGATAACAGTGATAATCCCGTGTTCCGATTAATCTTCTCTTTTTTTCCTATGGGTTGATTTTAATTTTAGTTTAATTTTGATTAAATGGATAATAATTTTTTTTAATAGAATAAAATTTATTTATTTTCTCGTTTTCTTTTCTTTTTTTTGGGGGAGGGGGGTCCGGTAACATTAGTGTTTCGCAACAGGTGAAATGCCTGGGGGCTTGGGGGCAGGGAGCCATTAGTATGCATGGCTTGACCATGTGTTGGTAGGGAACTTTTCCCGAATGGATACGCGGATGTGCAGGGCTGCGTCGCCAAATGGTTGGCGGGCTGATGGAATCCCAGGTTGTGAGGCTATTGAAGCGGACCCTCCGATGACCGAAAAGACCGAGAGGGGGTGAATTAACCAAGGAAAATGAGCAAAATCAGGCTGTGCTGAACCAACAGCCCCCAGGTTTGTCCACCATCATCGGCCATGTGGTTCCAGATATTGCATTAGCAGCATGTCACTAAGGTTGAAGCTGCATTCTCCAAAGAAGGGGGCGGTTTTTCAACTGTATTGATGAATGAGCCTTACACTTCACGTACTGGTTAGATTCTAAAGGAACTTGATAATAAATAGCAACATCATGTAGAATGTAGATCTTCACACACGTTTTTTCCCTTCCTTTTATTACCCTCCTTCATTTTCTTTTAACTGTGCTCGGGGGGTGCTGAAAAAGAAACAATGCTGCAGCTCAATGACATCCTCAATTCCTCACCTTACAGCAGGTTTGGAAAGGAGAGAAAAAGAAAACAAAAAAAAATAGTTGAAGTAAAAAGCCTCGAAACAAGTGTAACAACGGACAATTTTCCAAGGTCGTATAGTCTTTCCTAACCAGATCTTTTACGAGCGAGCCAACAAAGATCAGTAAGGAAAGTGGAAGTTGCACAGTCATGCATTGCTAATGGGGGCCCTTGGTGATTTACTTTCCTTCCATGCATATTACCTGGGGCACTTTGGGGTCCAACACAGATGCTGCCCTTGTATGTACGGTATATATGGGTATTATACTACTAGGTAATTTACCAATAGCAAGAATGTTCCCTGGATTAGGGCCGCGAAGTGGCTTCCCAGAGAGTGCGTGGCTCTGGGAAACGGCCAGGAAGGGGGCTAGATTTGCACATTCAGTGACAATTTGCGTGTATCATACCAGTAATGCATGTATGGACGAAAGGGTATGGTTACACAATGAATCACTAACCTCGTTTTCATCCTCATTTTCTCCATGGATACCTATTCTTAGACTGAGAGGTGCAGGTTGTTGTACTAACTCAAAGATAATTTTAAGCGTCCTTATTTGACGTAGGTCATCCGATGATTTGCATACGTTGCTATTTTGGCAGACCTCGGATTTCCTGCGTCCATCTATCCTTCTAACAGTCCATCATCATTCAGTGTCCAGCTGTTCCATGGGGTTAAGTGCAGAGCTATGATATATTTCCACTACGACAAATGTATATGAAACGGCATTCTTAAGATTTTCTCCAGCTTCCTGATAGAGCACGTCACTACGCTCCTACACCATAGACTCGTGTTTACTCTGTGCTCTGAATTCGATAACATATTCTCAATATCGATAGCTACCAACTTTAATTACGGGCATTGCGACTAGTTACATTCGGTCAAAATACCACCATTTTAAACTCCTTCGGGGTCAAAGAAATTAGCCGCCGGCCCCCATCCCACTAGTATTTTAGTTAGAATGCAAGCGTTGCTCCGTACATGCTCCTTCATTATAGCGTCTTAATGAGACAGAAAATGGAAGGGGGTAGAAAAAAATATATAAAAAAGAGAAGGGGGACCGGGAAAGAAAAGGAAACACAACTATAATTGTAATTCAACCGCACCCCATTTCTAACACATGACAAATTTGTTGTCAATAAGAGTTAGTATGTATGTACGTACAGTACCTTAGTACTCCGTACGACCCACATTTACATGACAGGCAACATCTCCCTCCAGAATTGGATAACTCTTTTTTAATCTTGATGTTTTTAGGGCAAAATACTTTCTGACCAATCACACCCGGGTGCACCAGTTTCCAGAAAAGGGATTTAGGCAACTTCCGACTGACCTCCTGCATGGGTGCTCCCTCGACAGCGCAAAACGAGAAGCGGGCAAATTCTTGAAGAATGTTAGAAGTGGAAGAGTGCACGGCCTCGATTTCTGCCACGTTCGTACAGAACCCCCTTGATCTTGGCAACACACTAAGGATAAAGATCTCACTCTCCCCAGCGGATGGCGGCGTGGGTACTCTAATTGTATATCGTTTCTCTTATTCTAAAACAAGAGGACACTTGATGAACATGGAGAACTGCATTAGGCTGTGCTTGAAACATGGGTAAGGTATTGTTCATCTGACAATATGTAAGAATGCGGAACAGCCTTGTTTTGCCCATGTCTTGAATACGAGGAGTGTTATTACCAATCTTTCTCTCTGGGTATGTGCGTGTATGTGGTTTATGTGTATCCTTCTTTTTCTATCTCATCTGCAGCTTCTGTTGCTAGGAATGATCTGCGTTGTCCACTATTATTAGTCTACGCCGCGTCCAACCCGTGCGAGGCTCAACTGTAAGGCAGAATACCTAGCATTCCATCATACTTGGGGGCGATAAAGTACTACTAGACGAGTTATCCTATACTAACATGAAACTGGGTGATGACACATGTAAGACTCTTGCTAGATTAGGTTTCTGCTCATTAATACGTTACTCTGATCGAGATCAATCTGAACGCCTTTTTCTTTCCCTAGGAGTTAGATGAATGGGAAGGAATTAGTTGAGTCAAGCAAGATAGAGGGATCTTCCGTGGGTGTGTGGGGAGGGGAGATGCGTCAATATGATAATCCCTATTGGCTGTACCCCAGTCTGAGGTATTTCGAGGATTGGCAACTATGAGGCTCAACTCTTTTCTCTCTTTTTTTTGTTTCGTTTTGCCTTTCTATCTTGCTTGCTTTCTTCTTTATTTTCATTTTCTATTTTTATTCTATTTACCCCTCCATTTTTCCTTTGCCCTTCAAAAATCTATTTCTTCCAGCGTAATACGAAGGGCGCTCGGAGTCACATTCAGGGCCCCCCTTGTGTAGGGCTGATGACATGGGTTCTCATTGGCGAGGGTAGGAAACCAGCTGAGTAGTATCTGTTTCAGGATGTATGCCTTGAGGTAAAGCGCCAATCGCATGGTTGGTCCCAGTTGGGTTGTCATGCACGGTGATATCTCTCGCCTCAATTTGGCGGTGGTTGTGGGGTCTGGGCCTGCATATAAGCATCCATTCATACTCACCCGCTGCGTCCTGACCCCTCGCCATCGTATGTAACCTCATCTCTGCCTTCTCTTATCCCCCGGCCCTGGTTAGACCCGTGGCCCCCCGACAAAAGTAAAAAATAGAAAGAAAAGAGTTGTATGTTATTGTGCGTTGGGATAAACGTCACAGTGCCGATCAATACTATTTAGTCAGTTCCTTTGACTAACCTCCTACCAGCAGATAGTCCTTCGTGGAGTCTAATGGTCGGTATGACTTATTTCCAAGTTCGGGATCCTAAGAGACAAACATTCTCGATGACGAATAGTCGAACCTTCCAGCAACGGTCTTGAAACATCCAGGTAGTGATGAGACTTGCTGGCACATATCGTGCTTTGGCTGCAAGTACGTGACATCTATATATCTACACTAACTAGCAGTAACTAGTTAGATATTTTCAGGTGTTACCTAATCGGCCAGTTTCTCGGATTGAATACCCGTTTTTGTATGACTGCTTTACCTTCATAGCCCCTCTATGTCTGGGATTTGATCACTGGTTATATACTTCAAGAATTTAACGCAGGGTCATCATTACCACTGCTCCACTTACAATGGCAGACTAAGCCTAAGGATCATCCGTGCCGCCCGAGAAGATTACGAACTTCAATTGCTTACCCAGCTGTGGCTGACTGCACGTGGTGACCGACTTGACATCTGTCGGGCGAAGTGAAGTACTAGTATGAACGGTTAGATTATGAACAATTTCCGCTGTATAGAAAGTTCTAGTCCCGCCCCCAAGTCTATGCAGGAATGGATCCTTCAGCAAGATAATTCATGCATCTTCGATCAAGGGAAGCACCCGCAATTCGCCAATCTAATACCCTTTGATTCGTTGAAAGAGACGTGGTTATTGGAGAGATTTCTGTATCTATTTCAGCTTATAAGGTCGGGGGCAAGTTAAACACCGAGGTGCAATCTATGTAAACATTGACTTCATTCGCTGAAGGTGGGGTGATGGAATCAGCAAAGGATGGCTTTCCTTGTACGGAGTTAAAAGAAAGAAAAAGAAAAAAGCCGACCGGGCCAAGGTCAGGGTTCACTATTTTTAACTATTATTGAGCACTGGTAATGGCCCGAGTGCGTCAGAAGCCTGGTCGATGGTCAATATAAAAATATATACCATGCGGACAATGCCTATTGAGGATTCAAATGGGCCGCGGGGGAAGGGGCTAGGACTGTAGATTTTAATTGAGAACTAAAAAGCGCCCCAAAACTAGTGTTAGTGTGTGTGTGTGTGTTTTAATCCTGCCCCAACCAAGTTGGCGAATCTAATATGATTTTGAAGACATGTTCGGGATAAATAACAGGCATCGCTCAAGGAGTTCGTTTAAGGTTGATGTGTCCATACCAATCAGGTTTGAAAAGGTCACAGTTGGCTATCATTTCAATATACTGAATGAAGGAAATGTCATTGTTCTGTTGGCAATCAGTGGTTGTCGGCGATTTGGAAAAAAGGGTAAAACCCCGACATTCGGGCAGCGCATACCTCCGTCAACAGGCCCAAAAGTTTGTGAATGACTGAATGGCCTTGCGGCTCTCATCGGCTTCCCTCTCCACCAAAATGGCTCAATATCCTGTGTTCCACCTCCCCATCATATCCGGACCCCGCTGTGCAGCTCAGCCTTCGTGGGCGGTATGACAATGCCATGGTGATCAGCCTGGTATGGAGGATTTAGATGTGTGCTGATCAGCTTCTTCGCCGTTGTTGTCCCGTCTCTGATGGATGTGCACGGAGTAATGGAACCACTTGGGCGGGAACGGATCCTGCCGACGTTCTGGACGTCGTGTAGCGTGCGTTGTGGATCTCCTCGTGGCTGCCTGGAGATTTCTCCTCCCTCAGGCATAACAAGATGGCTTGGGTCCCTTAAGCACACCCCTTTGGGCTTACAGCTACGCCTCGTTCAGGGCCGTTATGGATATTATGCCTCAGGCACTAATTTGAGTGCTTCCCCCACACTCGTACATACTCCGGGCCAGTACTTTAACAATTGCCTCCTAGGCTAGACTCGAGGACCACGAATAGAAAATTTTATGGGGTTCGAAGTTTTCCACGCTGGCAGAAACCGGCCTATACTATTGTGAATTATTGACATTGGGTGTGTCTCGCTCTGTTAATGGTTAATTGTACTGCTGTAAAGAGTACAATACACTCGATTCCACTGGATTGTTGTTCGTTGGAATGCCGTCTGTTACTATATTTATATATAAACATTTGGGATCGTCGTATTACGTCCGTGTAGAGACACGCCTTAGGTCGACAAAGTTCGTGACATAGCTCTTCAGGCGCCCCGTGAACCAGGCTCGAAAAGGCTGACCGGAAAAGTACCTTGTATGTGTAATGGCACAACACCAATCAACGACCTAACTCTAATACAGGCTAAGTCGTCATTTGCCATGATACAGCGGCTGAGTCTACGAGTCGTTGAGGTTCAAGCGCAAGGCGGTAGCTGCGGGCACAGTTGATCATTTCCTACCTTGGGAGTTATGATTAGACATCTGCAGAAGCCATTCACGGGTTGCTAGTGGCTTGATTTCGTGGAGGTAGATTCAGCAGGTGTCGACCTACCCAAGATACTTTCCAGGTACTACAACCAGACTCGCAAGGTAGCTTTCACCTCTTGAGTGGTGGATACTTACTCCAGCTGGATAGAAGAGAGAAAGATTTGCAAAGCCGAGGTAGCTAGACTTCTACATATTCGATTAGAATATGTTATAATGCAAGATAGCGCTCATGCTAGTTGAAAAAATGGCCAAATCATCAAACTATAGCAGTGATATAACCCAAGGCTGCGAATCGTTCCTTTTATCCATACCCATAAAGAATCATGTAAAATACTCTAGACAACTTGTATCCCGTTTTATGCGACCAAAGCTTCATTTACAGGACGTAGCTGGTAAAATCAGTATGAGATCATGTAGATTGCACCCGGCGACAGACTTACCTCCACTTGTGATCTTCATCACCATACTGGATTCCCTCGATCCAGTTTTTCATCTGAGAAGCAATCTCGCCAGCTTCCTCGTCCTCCTTCAAGCCGCAGTCGACCATCTTGCCTTTGTAGCTGATGCTTCGTACAGGGCTTACGATGGCTGCGGTGCCAGATCCGAACACCTCAACCAGCCTACCCTCGTCCGCTGCCTCAGCGACCTCAGACATTCTAATCTTGCGCTCAGAAACAGTCCAGCCATTCGGTGCTAATCTCTCTCGGGCAAGTCCTAAAACAGAGTCACGGGTCACGCCTTCAAGGATGGTCCCATCTAGAGGAGCAGTGACTAGTTCCTTCTGCCCTGTTTCTTTGTTCTTCAACGCAATAAAGAGGTTCATAGTGCCGACCTCGGTCACGTATTCTTCCTCACCGAAAAGCCACAAGTTTTGTTGGAAGCCTCGGGAGGCTGCGCTCAGTTGAGGAACAATGCACGGAGCGTAGTTAGCACCCAGCTTTTTATCTCCGACACCGCCGGGCCACGCTCGAACAGCATAGTCAGTGGCCTCTAGAGAGATAGCTTTGAAGCCAGTGGGGTAATAAGGCCCAACGGGGCTTGCAATGACGAACAAAAGGGCAGAACCTGGTGGTCCAACCCCAAGGGTGCTTTGCGTGCCGATCATTGTGGGCCGCAGGTATAGTGAGTATCCCCGGGCACTATTGCTATTAGCTGAAATACGTGGTGGGTCAGCGAAGACCATACCTAGGGATGAATCTGCTGTCCAATTTCACGAGCTCCCCAACTAATTGGGTCAAAGCCTCACCGTCAACGGTAGGGAGAGCGATTCGCGACGAAGACTTGTTCAGGCGCTCCATGTTCTTGTCTGGACGGAACAGCCGAATTTGGCCATTGTTGTCTTTGTAGGCCTTCATGCCTTCGAAGCATTCAAATGCATAGTGAAACACACAAGCCGAGGGGTCCAAGCTAAGGTTTTGGTAGGGGACAATACGAGGAGCATCCCAGCCATTGGATGCTGACCATTCAATAGCAAGCATATGATCTAAGAGCGATTCACATTACTATAGGCACAAAATGGGGCCAATTCTGTGGATTGCACATACCGGTAAAGGTTTTGCCAAAAACGAGATCCTTAGCAGGCGTCAATTCTTTAGGGGTGCTCGTTTTGGTAACTGTAAGCTTTGAAGGATCAAGGCCAGCTAGCCGGGAAGCAACAGCTGGAGTACTGCTGAAATGCCTATGCCATAATCGAATTGTGCGGAAGCCCTGGCTCGGCGTGACAGCCAGGCTCTGTAGCGCCTTGTGACGAGTGAATTGACGCAGCGAGTTCATGGCTGCGCGCCGCAAACTGAGAACCGCGGTACTAACGGAGATGATTTCGCAGGGTGTCTCTCGACCCTGGCACTGCTAAGGAGAAATTGATAATGGTGAAAGACAGGAGTATGGACAGGAAAGCCGGCAGCGGAGCTTAAAGGGCGGAAGGGGCTACCTTTTAATAGATGACTCTTATCCCACGGACCCTAGGTCCAACTCCGGAAGGTCCAGCGATAACCGAACTGATACGGAAGCCAGCCAAACGCGCCCCACACGATCTCAAATGGCAAACTCGTCATATAAGTCTAGTGATGGAAGTGTAAAGTGCAACTTGTTAATTGTTGGTTATCGTCAAAGTAACAGACCCAAAAGCTGACCACGAGATTGTTGATAAACAGGCCAGAGTAATTGATTGACAATCCGGTTGATGTCCGAGGTCGGAGTTAAAAGTCGCAGGTAGCCGGCAATAGCCTTTCCAGGGTACCATTCGAGGGCGGTACGCCACGTGATATCAACATGAGCTTTGCCGTTCCACAGTCGTTCATTGGCTACAGTATTTATATCACGTGACTACATCCGTCCAGATGGCAGATCAGGTATGCATAACTTAGGCTGAAGGTTTCGAGATGGTTAATTAAGCGTAGCGTGTAGGGCTGAGGTGAACCAAACACGCGTTTCCCCTTGCTTTTGTCTTCTTTATCAACGTCCTTCTCTTTTCGTGCAATGGTCGCCTAAAGTGCATTGTCAATATCTGATTAGTATATGGGAGGGCATCTTGCGTGAACCACAGCTTGCCGAGGCTTTCTTACCACTCCATCATCATACCGAATCAAGAAAACAGTCGCTCTTAGCTACTCAACCCAGAATACTGCTTGGTTCTATGCTCTTAGGCTATCGACAGGAGAATCATGTTTTCATCAGCTCTGAAATCATTTAGTTCCAATATATCAGCCAATTATCAAATTTCTCCGCAACCCGCAGTGATCTCTGGTCCCTGGAAAGTCCATGATGGAAAGAAAAAGTCCACCGGCACCTCAGCCTCCGTTTTTATCTTTGACAAGAAGTCACTCGAGTCACGTCCAAGTGGTCTAGGTGGTCGCTCCTCTTCTTCCTCGGCAAAAAAATTACACGAGGATGTCGTTGAACGACTTAAACGGGAAGCCAGTAGCCTGACACGGCTCAGACATCCTTCTGTGCTCCAAGTTCTAGAGCCTGTGGAGGAAACCCGTGGTGGTGGTCTTATGTTTGTGACTGAGCAAATAACGACATCTCTTGCTAGGCTCCTGCAAGAGAAAGATGCCGAAGAAAGCAACTCGAGGTTAGGCTCGAGGTCAAGCCGTTACATGGTAGAAGAACCTGATGGAACTCGAAGGCGAAGAGATTTGGAGATTGACGAGCTAGAGATTCAAAAGGGGCTTTTGCAAGTTGCCAAGGGCCTCGAGTTCCTCCACGAATCTGCGGGTCTTGTACACGGCAATCTCAACCCCGAGGCCATTTTTATCAATGCCAAATCCGACTGGAAGATATCAGGCCTTGGGTTTGCCGGCCCTCCCAGCTCCACAGACTCTCGGTCCTCTCTTCCACCTTTAGCTTTGTCGGAAGTCCTGTACCAGGACCCTCGCCTCCCTCCCTCCGTCCAATTGAATCTGGACTATACGTCACCCGATTTTGCATTGGACTCCAATGTAAATACTTCTGCGGACCTGTTCTCCCTTGGGATCATCATCGTAGCTCTATATAACTCCCCACACATCTCTCCGCTCCAGGCTCATTCAAATCTGAGCTCATACAGAAAATTGCTCAGCTCTCCATCCACGACGCCGTCACAAGGCAATAATTTTCTTTGCTCAGGCACTCTTCCGAAGGACCTCGCTACGCACGTATTGCCCCAGCTCATAACTAGACGACCAGCGCAGCGTTTGAATGCCCGTGAATTCCAGCAATCACAATATTTCGATAACATATTAGTATCAACGATCCGTTTCTTGGAGTCCTTGCCAGCCAAGAATCAGAATGAGAAGTCACAATTCATGCGTGGGCTGCAGCGGGTTATCTCAGAATTTCCAGTGTCCGTTTTGGAAAGAAAAGTCTTGGGTATATTATTGGACGAGCTGAAAGATCGTGAACTCTTACCCCCCATTTTACAAAATATTTTTGCGATCCTCCAACGCATTCCCAATGCACGTCGTACACTTCCAGAGAAGGTAATTCCTCGAATCAAAGAGCTGTTTCCGACTGAGAAAGCTGCTGTTCATGAACGTGATTCTAAGAAAGATGCGGGCCTCATGGTTGTTCTTGAACACATGAAAATCGTGGTGGAGAACTGCTCTGGAAAGGAGCTAAAGGAGGATATCCTGCCACTAATCCGGCTAGCTCTAGATTCACCTACTCATTCCTTGGTAGACGGAGCTATCAAGTGCTTGCCTGTCATCCTTCCAATACTTGATTTTAGCACCGTCAAGAATGAGGTCTTCCCTCCAATCGCTTCTACATTTAGTCGAACAAACAGCCTTGCTATTAAAGTACGATGCTTGGAAGCATTCACTGCGCTGTGCGGTGGCTCTTCAAACGAAGGAGAGCCGGTCGAAGATGACTTGTCTGGGTTGGTCCAGAAAAGCAAGCCACAGCAAACTAGGTCATCTATCTTGGACAAGTATACAATCCAGGAAAAACTCGTCCCATCACTTAAGGCTATCAAAACGAAGGAGCCGGCTGTCATGATGGCGTCCTTGCATGTGTTTCAACAGATCGGCACAATTGCTGATACCGAATTCCTTGCTCTGGAGGTCCTTCCAATCCTGTGGAACTTCAGTCTAGGACCACTTCTCAATTTAAATCAATTTGGAGAATTTATGAACCTGATCAAAAGTGTATCCTCGAAGATTGAGCGTGAACAGAGGAAGAAGCTTCACGAGCTCTCTTCGGGAACAGAATCTAGCGGGTTCCAAAATGGCGCGGGAAGTTCCTCGAAGATACCCAATAGCTTAACACCATCCAATATGGATTCCACGAGAGATAACTTTGAGCGCCTTGTTCTTGGGCGGGGTCCTGATGCTTCAAACTCCAAAGATACTGATCCGTGGGGCAGTATGCTCTCGGGAGAGGCGTCTGCTCAAAAACAATCACCTGCAGCGTTCTCGTGGTCAACTAATATGGTCGGATCGGCTGGCAGAGGCAATGCCCCGTCGGGTACTTCAAGCTTTAGTATGCGCTCCATTACACCTGATTACAACTTGAACTCTTTTCCCTCGCTGGAGCCTACTGCTAGGCAGAGATCCTCTCCAGCGCCCGCATTTCCTACCTTACAAGCAACATCACCTGTCGCTTGGAATACGCCGGACTCTCCGAATAGTCAGAACCCTCTGTCTGGTCCATCCTTGGGCGCTTTAGCTAACATGAAGGCTTCTGGTGCCTCCATGTCTGGACCAAGCGTACAATCAACCCCTAATTTTGCTGCATTCTCCATCCCTCCACCTCCGTCTTCTCATATCGCGACGGGAACCTTCCCAAGCTCTGGTAGTCTGGCAGCTGCGAACAAGTCCCCCTTGGGGATAAATACTGCCCACAATGCATTCTCGAATAACAGCGTGTCACAACCACAAGGCAATGCAAAGCAGGGGCTTGACAAGTACGAAAGTTTATTGTGAGCGGAATGATATCATGGTAATATAGAACTCAGTTGGTCAACTTTTTTTCTTCCTTTTTCCTACTTTAGCTACCGTTCTGCTCCTTTCATTCTCCCACGCTTAGGTCTCTATTAAAAGAAACATGACAGGGCATGTGCCCATATCCTCTTTTCTTTTACTTGTGTTTCTCGTCGTTATATGTACATATTCATGTGCTATTCATCTATAGATAATTTTAGGAGCTAAGGCCTAATCGTGAGCAAATATGTTTTCCCTACTTTTGTACTTCGTATAGCCAACAGGTATCCATAAAGATAGTGAGGGTGGGTCAAGATTCTGATAAGCTGCCGAAGAAACCCCCCACTTTTGCCAAGAATTGTGTATCCATGATGTTACCTCCAGTAAGAGAAAGACAGGAGATAGATACTCTACTGCGCAGGAATGCTCGCTGTTCGAGGCGCTTTAAAGCGCTTGCCTTCGGGACATTCTCTCCACCGCCCCTCCGGACCCTTTCTTCTGCCCCTCAATCGTCTCCGTCCTTCACGTCACTCTTCGCGTACTTGTTCCTCTTTCACTAATAACCTTTCCACAAGCTCTGTATCTCTTACCCACACACATCAAAAAATAGTCATGATGGATGAGAAGGTCAAACAGCACTATCTAGCTGACTCCCCTCCCACGGTAGTTCGCCTAGAGATCAAACACCACTGGGATAATCTTAAGGATGCAAAGCTGAGGCGATATGCGCACTACATAAGCAGGTTAGTTTCTTCCGAGCCCCAGTTGCACAATTCTTGCTAGTCGCATACGTGATTACCTACTCCACTGGTGCATACAAAGTTGATAACCGAGCTTATTGTTCAAATATTAGAGCGGGATTTGAAGGCACTCGCGTTACTTTGCGCCAGGTTTCTCCCGAGTCTGAGCCGATCTACGATCTTATAATCGCACTCTACCGTGCCTGTGATGGAAATTGGACTGACCTCGCCAAGAAGACCAATGTAAGCGACGAGAATTTGCGCTATTTCTTGGAGTATTCGGCCCAGTTTCTCGGGAATTGCGGGAACTACAAAGGTTTTGGTGACTCCAAGTTCATTCCTCGACTGCCTGTAGAAATCTTTCAGGCGTTAGCCTCATCCACCTCAGAAACAAAAGCAGCATTTGAGAAAGCGAATACGACCGGAGGTGGTATTTATGAGACAAAAGAGCAGGCGCTTATGCACCTTGGTTATACAGATGGTGGCCACATGACTACTTATTACCCTGATTCGCCATCCATAACAAAAGATGAGATCACAGCTATTGGCGACCTTATGGAGAAAAAGGGGCTGCCCCTGGAAAATACAAGACTTAAGAAGTTATCGTCCGGGGACTTTGAATTGCTAATTGCCTCGGGCGTTGCTTCTCCTCCCGTAAGGGACAGGGATCTCGGTGAGGTGGACGGTTTGGACCTGGATGGTGACCTGGCTGGAAAGAAGCTGCGCCTGGTTTTTGGCGATCATATAGAGGAAATGGCAAAAATTGCCCATTCGGTTAAGCAAGCGGGACTCAATGCAGTAAACGACAACCAGAAACGGATGTTAGATGCCTATGCCTTGTCGTTTGGTGCCGGTTCAATTGAAGCGTTCAAAGAAAGCCAGCGGATCTGGGTGAAAGATCAAAAGCCAAGTCTGGAGACCAATATAGGGTTTGTAGAAACTTATAGAGACCCGCATGGAGTGCGAGGAGAATGGGAAGGCTTCATTGCTTTGGTATGTCATAAGCATCATTGTCTTTGTCACTTCTTCGTTGGCTGACATTTGATACCCGGGCAGGTTAACCTAGAGCGTACCCGAGCATTCGGGAAACTGGTGGATACTGCAGAGAGCATGATTCCTAAGCTTCCATGGGGCAAAGACTATGAAAAGGACAAGTTTCTCAGCCCAGATTTCACTTCGCTGGAAGTCTTGAGCTTTCAATCTTCCGGCATACCTGCTGGCATCAATTTGCCCAATTATGACGATATCCGTCAAAATCTAGGCTTCAAGAACGTTTCTCTTGGAAATGTGCTTAGCGCTAAAGCCCCCAATGAGCCTGTTCCTTTTATTGCCGAGAAAGATTTGGAGGTTTATCGCAGATGCCGTGACCCCGCGTTTGAAGTCCAGGTGGGCATCCATGAACTCCTCGGGCATGGAACTGGCAAGCTTCTCCAGGAGACTGCCCCAGGAGAGTATAACTTCGATATTTACAACCCTCCTGTGAGTCCAGTCACGGGGAAACCTGTATCTACATGGTACAAGCCTGGTCAGACGTGGAGCTCGGTTTTTGGAGCTATCGCCTCTTCTTACGAAGAGTGCCGTGCAGAGTGCGTTGCTATGGTGCTCAGCTGCGACTTTAGCATCCTGAAGATTTTTGGATTCGGAAACGGGCAAGAAAATCTCACCAGCGAGGCTGGAGATGTCTTGTTCGCAGCATATCTGCAGATGGCTCGTGCAGGCCTCGTCGCCTTGGAGTTCTGGGACCCCAAAACTCAGAAATGGGGGCAAGCCCATATGCAAGCTCGCTATAGTATTCTGCGAACATTCCTTGGCGCCGGTGACGATTTCGTCAAGCTTTTCTATACCAAGGAAGATCTCTCTGATTTGGAGATACATCTAGACCGATCGAAAATTCTGACGCACGGACGTCCAGCCGTGGAGAAATATCTGCAAAAGCTGCATATCTACAAGAGTACCGCGGACTTTGAAGCCGGTAAGAAACTTTATGATGATGTCACGTCGGTTGATGAATGGTGGGGGACCAAAGTTCGCGAGGTTGTTCTTCAGAACAAGGTCCCACGTAAAGTGTTTGTCCAGGGCAACACCATCCTAGATGGGGACGAAGTGACCCTGAAAGAGTATGAACCGACGCTAGAGGGAATGATCCAGAGCTTTGTTGAACGCAATGTCTAGGTTCATAGATAGACTTGCATATAACCTGCGCGCACTGGTGATGTGGTTTACCTATATCTGGATACAAGATACCCCTTAGTGGTGTTCCCCTTAAATTCGAGGGACTTCCTAAAACTATTATCGTCCTGTCTGATACTGGAAGCGTAGTCATGTGACCTGATGTGAATCCATTCATACTACAGATCATGAATGTGTCCCTACTGAAAAGTCGAGAAATCTATCGCTAGAAATGGCTGTTCACCAATGGTCCTTGCGTAAACAAAGTGATTGGGGCGGAGGAGGAAGTAGCGCTGTAGCCCCAAGTGCTCCGTAGGCCAACTTCTGCCAATGTTTCCCCCATCACCTCTAAGCGCTTCCCTCCCACACATTCTCCTCCTCCCATCATCTTTGCCTCATTCACAGTTGCAGCTTCCGATTATTTTGTACTGCCCGTCATTCATCAGTTTCTTATTTTCTAGCTCGAGCATAGATTCTGTCTTTTACGAATACCCGCTGCGTCCCTATGTTCTACCGACAGCTCTAGAGACACCACTCTCCTGATCGGCGTGTCAAACGGGAGTCTGGAACCTCCTCGATCAACGGGACGCCCCTCACAAGTAGCTCCTCATAATCGCCAACAGACATACGAGCACAAACCCTGTCACTGTGATCTCGAAACGAATTTCGACACCTTGCCGTGGCAATCAAGTTCTCCTGGCTCGCCTATCACGGCGCGGCCGCAACATCTCCCGGATTCTACAGTGGAGGAAGACGACGACTTCTATACTGCGCCGCCACCGCATTCCCCGTCCTTACAGGCTTCCTCGTCTAGCTTTATCTCAGCACATCCTCCGCCATTTTTGTCTCTTGGGTACAATCCTGGAGCTGATTCTAATCGTGCCAAGGTTACAGTTCCCGAATCTGGACCGGCTTTCGTCTTGCCGTTCACACCTCCGTCCGAAGAAGAGCAACTGGAACCAGACTCCTCATCATCCGTGATTGCGGAGACCAAGGAAACCTTTTCCAGGGATCCCAAAGATTATTCTCCAGGAAAGTCAGCGGAAGAGGGAGAGCCTCCTCCCCCGTATACCGAAGGATCTAGTCCCATAACCTCATTCACTTACGTTATGGCTACGGCAGGAGGCGCGTCGAGTATCATCACTCAAGTGCAACAGGCGGGTGGACCACCGATAAACACTTTAGGAGGTATGGCACTTGATCGACTCTTCTGATCATCTGTTCGAGTCAGTAACACCTATTCTGGAATTTAGACATCGGCGGCGATGAACATATCACTCTCGACCTCAGGTGAGACTTCGCGAACCTTAAATTAGTGGTCATTTATCTCTAACTTGGTTCGCAGGGGAACCAGGTTTACACTCTCTCGGGACGAACTGTTGACACTACCGGAGTTTGTCCTTTTATCGCTGTTTCCGAATGGTTTGCTTCCAGACGGACACATGGGCACCTTTCACGAAGGTGACATTTACCCTGTTGATGTAAGTAATGCAAAAACACTCTACTGCTTCACACATACGTCCCTTCTGTCAACCGATATATCCTTCTCACATATACACGTTAGTATGACCCGGTGTCTCTTCAGTACATGCTAGACTTCTTCCGCTCCGTCGCTCAATCCATCCCATCGTCGCCAGCAGCCTCGACATCACAAGACCTAGACGTATCCCCCGACTCCTTGCAAGGATCGACTAGGGACATGCTCCAGGACCGGGCAGGTATCATCGTGCTACGGGAAGACCTTGATTTTTATGCAATTCCTCCACGGCCGGATATCGATCACGCGGAAATGATTGAGGTCAAACGTGCAGCTGCAAGAGCACTACTGAAACAAGATGGGATATTCTCAGGATTGAGGAAGAGCGATGAGGCCGGCTCAACAGAGCAGCACTTGATCGAGATGCTGACTGCAGGGTAAGCTTATATCTTTGAGCATCCAGCTCTCTTTATGACCTTGAATACTGAGATGAATATAGCGGTTTTGATCGTGATGATCGGTGGGGCCACCGTGCCCCAGAGCCCAATAAGGCAGTTATCTGTAGCCTCGCATTGGCCAAACTCCGTACTGATATCAAGGGTGATGTCCCTAATAACAACGCAGTCGGCATGGCCCAGAAACTCCTCCTATTTTGGAGAAAACCTGCTAGAAGATGCTGGTGGGAGGGTGTTGAGTTGGAGAATATCGAAGGCGTTGAAGGCAAGGTGAAAATCTGGATTCGGAGAGTATGGACTTTAGAAATGGTAAGGCTTGCAAACCCTACGACTGATCTGACGGCTCATCCTAACATGATTGTAGAGTGTAATTGGGCTTCGATGACCGATTCATACCTATCCTTTAAGCTTCGCATCCTTCTCGTGCACCGTCTTGCATGCTAGAAGCATACCGTTGGCAGCAATTACTTCTTTTGTTTTTTCCACAACTCTTTTTTTCTTTTCAAGCCCATCTTTGGAGGAGTTCATGATATCCCTATCTACTTCCGCGTCTGCCGTTGCAGACAAGGTAAATGGCGTATTCAATTAAAGATTGAGGGTACTAGTGTCATTCTGTTTATTGTTTCCACCAGCTGGCCGGACTCCCATGCATTGATATAACCCCTCTTTTCTTTTTCTTTTTTTCTTTGTGCTTGCTGTCCATAGTTAACATTTTATCCTCAACATCTTCTTTTGTTTCTTGTTTAACTAGTGATAACGTCCTTCGTTGTTTGAGGAAGGCCTAAACATCTACAATACAATCCTAGGACCTAATCCGCCTCTCTCTCTCTTTCTCTTCTTCCTCTTCCTCTTCTTCTTCGTTTTCCCTCGGTAAGAAAAAGACAAAGAGAAATAAAAAGAAAAACAAAAACAGGAATCCAGTAAGTTTTGAATCAATCTCGCCGATACATAGATACAGAGACGATAATTTGGTTACACACACGTGACTAAAATTCCGAAACAGGATTAGCGGAAACACTGCAATGGGAAAACGCGACAAAGCAGAACAGGCGGAGCTCGACCGCAATCACCGTCAGAGGAGCTTTGGCTTGTACTAAAGATCAACCTGTGCAAGTCGCTGACCCAGGCCAACCCTACCGCATTGCCAGATTTATTAATCGCCTTTTCAAGTGGAAGCGACTCGCCAATTCATTTGCAACTTTCACATATTTCCCTTGACGGTTCCACCCTTTCGTTGACCGCATTTAAGATAAGAATTGCTCGTTCGCGAATCGGAGCGCCCTGGCAAATCAGAAAGGGACATGTTCTTGTCCACCTAAATGGCCAACATGTCCCCCCTCAGAGGCTATATTACTTCTTATTCTCCACGAGTCCGTCAATATGGAAACGCGCTTCTCACACCGGTTATTCCTCCAAGCCAAACCGGTCCGGCACCGCGAATGACAAAGCGAGGAACAGCGGCAATAAACTACGCTGAAGATGGGTTTGACGACGACGATTTCGAGGACAGTGAAGGTCCCCGACGACCCACTGGCTTGAGGAGCCTTCGACGGGAAGAGTCGACTGTTGACAAGGTTCCTTTGGCGGAAAAGTTGGGGAAAGAAGTTCACGCTCCTGTTGAGGTTCAAGGGGTATTTCGGGACTGGATGATCAAGAGGATGCTGAGGCCTGTGTATGCTTTGTTAATTACCACTCCCTTGCTTTATCGCCTGAAGTCATTCTTTTGCGAAGGATGCTAACTCTTGAGTTTTGCTGCCATGCAGCTGCGCCGACCAACTGCAGATTCAGGCGCAGCTCCCCCTTACCCTAATACCCATTCGCATTGATTTAGAAGTTCCAGCGCATCAACCTCAAGAACCCTTCCAATTGCCCCGAACCGTTCTGGATCCCGGTATCAACCCTACTCTCCCCGGCTATAGAAGACCCGAACCGTTACCTGCCTTCAGGATCAAGGATACATTTCTTTGGAACCTTCACGAAGCGCTGGCGACTCCTGAAGAATTCGCTACGGGCTTTGTTCGTGACTTAGATCTACCCAATCCACAGGCCATGACAATGGCAATCAGCAATCAAATTCGTCAACAATTAGAGGAATATGCTGGTGTTGCGCTACATCCGCTATTTCAAAGTACAGTGCCAAAGCTGCCTTCTGTCGGTCAAGCTGGCGTGTCGCGCGATGCATCCGCAACTCCTGCTCCTACCCATGCCGCCACGCCTGATAGCAGATCCAACGCAGTGACAGTAACCAAGGAGCCATTTGTTAACGACAGTTTCCTGAATCCAGATGATGCATACCGATGCATGATCAATCTTAACATCAACCTGCAAAATAAATTATACACTGACAAGTTCGAGTGGTCTCTGCTGCATCCTCCGGGCATGGCAGAGGAATTCGCGAAAATTACTTGTGCGGATCTGGGTCTTAGCGGAGAATGGGTCGGAGCTATTGCACATGGTATTTATGAAGCTGTTCTAAAGTTGAAGAAAGAAGTCTGTGAAAGCGGTGGCTTAGTCAGTGGCATTGGCGGCTATGGAAATGAGATAGACAACCAAGCGGCCAATGGCACTGAGGCCGGTTGGCGTTATGACCCAGAGGGACTCGGCGATGAATGGGAACCCAAGGTGGAGACGTTGTCAAAGGAAGAAATTGAGAAGCGGGAAGGTGATCGTGAACGGCAGATCCGGCGTCTACGGCGAGAAACCGCTAGGTTCTCTTCTACTGCAGGCATCACTCCAGACGTTTCACGACAAGGTAGCGGAGGCTACTTTGACGTCGACAGTGAGACCCCTCTAGGTAGGGGAGAAAGGAGTAAACGAAAAAAGCGTTTCCGCAGCCTGAGCCCATTGGGAAGAGGAGGTACGCCTGGTGGACGTGGAACTCCAGACACCTCTTCCGGCGCCGGGTATGGCGGTGGTGGCGGTACATTATCCGATTGGTTTGTCCTCTCACTCGGCTACTGTGCTTGACGTTCTATGGCTGACTGTTTCTTCTTTGCTCTCAACAGGGAACGGCAAAATTGGCGGTGCAGTAATTGCATGGTATGGGGTACCGCAGTTTGGGCTGTTCGGGATGGCCCTGCCGGTCCAAGGGTAAGCACAATACAACTATAAAGTCCGCACCTATGCTCAGTTCACTGACTCACTGGTTTCTAGACACTTTGCCACAATTGTGGTCTTCTATACGAACGTGATAAAGTTGCACCGGAATGGTCCAGAGACTTACACCGTCACGATATACCGGTTGGCCGAGCATAGTCCCAACAGATGGACGTGCTTGGCTCGGCTTTCGCCGCCAGTCTATTCATATGGTTTGGGTAAGACATTAGTTACTGGTCTTCAGTTAAGAAGGCAAGGAACGAATAGGTTGAGCGTAACTGACATTAGCCGGTCAATAGGATCAGTTGCGAGCTCAACATAATCACATTTAGTGAAACTAAAGACTGCATCCTACATCACTTCAGGATTGGAACATAGTCCCTGTACTTTTTCAAAACCTTGGCCATGATATCTTTAATGAACCCTTCACAGTTAGGATTCGGCGTCTTCGATGTGATTCATGTCTCCTTTCTCTTTTTATCACTATTATTACTATCTTTTACCTATTACCCTCTGCATTCTTTCTGCAGTTTCCTGGTGCAACTTGCTCTAGGGAAAAGACTTTATTTTATTTCCTTCAATGTTTTCTTCAATCTTGCTCTTATCATTTTCCAAAATTTTGTTCTGGACTGTTGTATTACCGATATGTATACTGGTTACTAAAGTAGTGGGCGGTTCATGTTTGTATTATGGTTTTTTATCTTTATTCATTTCTTTTTTTTATTTATTTATCTTTGTTTTTATTTTCTTTTGACACTTAGCAGTGTAGTATAAAGGATGGGAAGGAATTTCTAGGACTGAGAACAATGATTGAACGTATTGTGGCTCAGTAGTGAGTTCATCTCCAATATGTTTATGTATTAGATGTCTCTTGGTTAGTCTTTTACGATGCAGATACGGAGTACGAAGGCAGAAATTACTCGCCATTATTAGACGTGGTGCCCATGTATTGAGCAGCGTACAAGCTAAATTACCGATTATATGTACTACTACTGTAGTGCAAGTTTCCACCTGGAACAGGTCACTAGATTTGACGTATAATAAAACACAGGTGGTGTACTCAGGGTCCGTTTACCAGTCATTAGTTCTATTGTGTCCAATAGGATCTTTATTCAACACCTAACATGGGTTGGGAAAGCGGTGATCGATTGCTGATTTCTTTTTCTCCTTTGTAACATGTCCTCGGCGAAACCCTTCCTTTCTTTCCACCTTTTTATTCCTTTTATTTGTTTTTGACGGGATCTCGTCCTGTGACTCTTGTTTTATCCCATCATTCTTTGTTACTCGTAGGGTGGCTTACTTGGAAAGGCCTAGGCAGTATTACGTTACGATAAGAGGTTTCAAGAAGATACTTGACAAGTCCGCCAATCGTGTAGAACGACTTTGCTCTCTTCTATGTTGTGACAGATTACATTAATATTTGTAGATACCTGCTGGGTTGTTTCTGATGCAAGTTGATCTGAGTATCAGCCATAGTCTCATTAGTCCACAGGGCAGGCAACAACACATGTAAGGCTCATGCCTCGGACATCACACTCTTTTTGCGTGGGGCATCTCCGGTGGCTCCTGCATGTAAAGCGTCAGTAACACTATGTGTCTCTAAATGGATAAATACCTCATAATCAAGGTTCTCTACTGGTGAAGAAGGACGTACTGAGTTGGCGCGTCTCTTTCTGTCCATCTCACGTAAGCTCCCAACTCTACTAATCTGGACATAATGTCGATTCGCGAGAGAACTGCCGGGGGAGAGGCTGTTACCCGGGCAGATGACGTTTCGACTTCCTTCGATCTTTATTCCCGAGTTAATATTGATTTTTACGGGTGAAGATCCGTCTTTGGTCAGGTGAAGGAGGCTGGCCCTGCCAAGAGCGGTGATAATAGACGTCGCCATGCCTGTTAACTTGGTCTGGCGATGTCGCTGTGCTGATTGCTGCTGCTGCTGCATCGTAGAACTTGGTAGCGAGGAAGATGTTGTAGGGTTGTTGGCTTGCTGTGGACCTGCCACAGGTGGTATGATTAAGGTGTTGCCATTCCCTCGCACGTTGATCGATGCGTCGATATGGATGTTAACGGTGGTGTGGTGGTGACGATTGTCGTTGCTAGGAATAAACTCCCAGGACATGCATTCATCGCCATCATCGCCATCATCAGCACCTTCCGGCTCATCCTTGTCAATCAACTCGTTTTCGGCGAGGGCGAGATCTGGTACATTACTCCTTGAATATGGAGGTGGAGGCGACGCCCTCGTTTGATTTTGAGCGGCTGCTCTTGCTTCTGCAAATTTCTGTAGTTGACGGAGAAAGGAGCCGGGGGGAGGAAGCATTTTGCGCTGAATATGGTAGCCGTCCGTGGTATAGATGATCTCAAGGGTAGATAAATGTGTCGTATAACAGTTAGCAGGATAAATCCCGCAATGCACGGGTAGGAAGAATCGCAGATCTATACGGCCCTGAGAATAAGATATACTAGTTATATATATATCGAGAAAGGAAAAGAAAAGAAAACGGGTGCCGAGATGCTATGCGATATGATCCCGCTAAAACTGAACAGTGAAACATGATTCCAAAGCAAGAATAGGCAGTCAACTGGCCCACGACCACAGCACCCGGATATAACGTTACACGCCGTGTTCCCTTGATAACAAGGAATGATGCATCAATAGGTAGACCAACACTGCTCACAACAGCAAGTTGATAGGGAAGGACTGCATCCCAACCAGCCCCCACAACCGGGGCAGAGAGCCAATCGAGTCAAGCACGTCGTGACCGTCAAGGGGACGCAATAACGCTACCATGGAGTTGCAACAATGGTCCCGGCCTCCTTATTGAGCCGCGGCAGGATTGGTATTGTTCTCGATCATCAATAGGAGATTAGGATCACGTGAATGCATGGTCACCGGTGATCTGGTACTGTACTGTACATACAACTCTTCGTTGATGTGTCAGTGCGGGTCAGATCTCTCGTGGGAACCCCAGCAACACCAAGGGAATAGAAAATCAGGGGCAATGACAGGACAAGAAAAGGACAGGAAAAGGAAAGGAAAAAGTGGGAGTCATGCTACGGATGTGGTCCTCCCCTATATTCCATAAACAAGCTTTTTTCTTTCCCCCACCGGTACACCTTCCAAAAATAAACAAACCAGAACGATAAGGCTGGGAAATGAATTAAGCCCAGCGATCACCGAACATCCAACTCTCATGAAGAGTTTGGTCATCATGCCCTGTGCCTAGCTCGTTGATCGTACTTGCTTGAGACGCGTGCTTGGATGTTTCATTGCCCCCAAACACTGGTAGTACGGTATCCGATTGAATAGACGTTCCATAAACAGAATCTAAGTAGTACATTATCCATTCGGTCAGGTACCGTGTCTCAAATGTCGGCTCTAGGCTGCAAACAGACTGGTGGGCGCTTTGTGCTCATTCTACTACTTACTGCTATTGTCGTGATTCATTGCCATCGTGTACGGGCTTCGCCCTTGCTGCGTACGTGTTTTTCCTTCGGGATAATACTTGCCACCAGGATGTAGAGGCTGCATAGTCTGGGATCTGATTAGCAGGAACAAAGGCCGGCATATATAGACTAAAATATACCAGCGCTCGTGCCACGCCAGCCGAAACTCTAGAGATCACGGACTGGTACTGACTTCACGGAACTCATCTCCTTCGATATGAACCTCGCGGTCTCGGATACGGCGCATTAAGGCAAGGAAGTTACTTTCCCGAAATTTCTGGCTCTGATCGTGGCTGACATTTTCCAGTAACTGTCCCGCTGTTCGGGCAAGCTCGTCTGAGTCATTGTAATGTGCTCGAGCGTCACCCTTTTCGGTCTGGGGTATGGTGTCTGAACCAATCCGGATGGTTTCAACTTGAGGAGCAGCAGTTGCATCCGGATTAGTGGTCTCATTGGTAAGTTCTTGTGCGTGATCAGCCGTTTGTGACGCTAAATCCGCCTTGGCTTGTTCAAATGCAGCTTCAAAGGCAGACTCATCGAAGGCTTCAGTGGATGGTAGCTGGCTAGCTGTCAGAGCTTGTGCTGGCGGATGAGCATTTACTGTACTCTCGTGTATAGGATAACTAGGCGTAAAAAACGGTTGGAACCCCTGGGCGAAAGGTTTGTGTTGCTGAGCAGGACTAGGTTGCTGCTGTTGGGCTAGAAAATCATTCCGCCAACCATGCTGTGCAAGGTTCGACGCTGAGGCTGGGTTCGCGCCGACTTGTTGATGAGCTAGAGGCGAAGAGCCAGAGATCTGTAGCCTCTGAAAGTCTGCTGCCCAATTGTGCTTCTCTACTTGATTGTGTACCGCGAAATGGGGCGTAGCGAAGTGGCCCGGATGTTGTAAATCGGGAAGCGGTGCTCCTGGTATACTGGATTCGAACGTAGCGAATTCGGGATCTAGGATACCTTCGTTGGGATTTTGTGACCGAAAGCCCTACAGCACAAACCAGATCTTAGTATTGTTGAAAATAGGACCCTCACGGATGTAGAGTAAGGCTTAAAACTAACCTGAGAATGCGATTGTCGCGAAACTAATCTGTCCTGTTGCAGTGTCCGATCAACAGAGGCATGCTTCTGGAAGTTTTGAAGAGCATTGGACGGGCCACACAGAGCATCGCTCATGATGTCTAGATAGCACGAGCTAGGTGTTAGAAGATCTTCGATAGAGACCCAATATACGATCTAGTGCGATCGGAGAATTTGATATAGCTATGAGTTAGGAGGCAAATATAATGAGAATCTTGGTTAGAAGGGGGATCGACTATAAGACTGGCAAGAAGTCGACATGTAAGGACATACAGAAGAAGGCGTGGGGTAGGCAGCCGAGGAGAGCCGAGGCCGGTCTCACGTGCTAAGGGGTGTGGTCGGGGAATGACTGAGGCGATAAGATAAGATTTGGGTGCGGCTCCTCCCACTGCGAAACGGACAAGCTGGCGGTGTCTGGCTGCTGTGCCGATTTGCGTGTTGATTCGATATTCCAACCACCGCCCTCTTCCTTAAAACTTATAATCAGCAGCGCCCAAAGATCAACAAGCCATACCCTACAAATATAGTCCCCTAGGGTTTGCCACGGGCATCGAACTGGACAAAATGGTGCGTATCTCCCTTTCAGTCTATCCCGATCCTATTTGTTCTTTTTAAACATTGACGTCCTGACTTGGAATTCTAGGCGGCCGCTCAGATTATCTCTAATTCTGGACACGATGACATGATTGTACGTGCTAAAGTCGGAACACATCTGGGTTCAGCGCTATGTATTCCCCGAGCTGACCCACCTATGACACGCAGCACGACGCTGGCCTGGACTATTATGGCCGCAGATTAGCCACTTGCTCGTCGGATAAGACAATAAAGATATTTGAGATCGAAGGCGAGACACATCGCCTGGTGGAAACTCTAAAAGGGTGAGAAACATCCTCCTTGTGATTAAATGCGCGATTACTGAAATGAGAAAATACGAACATAACAGACACGAAGGCGCAGTTTGGTGTATCGCATGGGTGTGTACCAATCTCCCCATGCAGCTCATATGGATTACATTCACCGTAACTGAGCCCTGAACTGACAAATGCATTTCTTCTGACTCTAGGCGCACCCTAAATTTGGGACAATTCTGGCCTCTTCATCCTATGATGGAAAGGTCCTCATCTGGCGCGAACAACATCAGAACACAACATCCCCTGTCGCTGTAAACACCTGGACAAAGGTCTTTGATTTCTCCCTCCACACAGCCTCGGTGAATATGGTCTCCTGGGCTCCGCACGAGAGTGGATGCCTTCTTGCTTGTGCTTCTTCCGACGGCCATGTTAGTGTTCTTGAGTTCCAGGACAATAGCTGGACTCATCAGATCTTTCATGCTCATGGAATGGGCGTGAACTCTATTAGCTGGGCCCCTGCGGCATCTCCTGGTAGCCTGATCAGTGTCAACCCTGGACCGGGTCAGCAACGGAGGTTCGTCACCGGTGGAAGCGATAATCTGCTCAAAATTTGGGATTACAAGTACGTGCAAATAGCAAATTCCGCTTTGCTACTTGAATGGAGATATACTAATCACGCTGTATAACCATACAGCCCGGAAACCAAGTCCTACGATCTCTCTCAAACACTTGAAGGCCACTCCGATTGGGTCCGAGACGTTGCTTGGTCGCCGAGCATACTTTCCAAGTCCTACATTGCGTCTGCCTCCCAAGATAAAACTGTTCGCATCTGGACCTCGGATGCGTTGAATCCTGGTCAGTGGGCCAGCCAGCAGCTCGAATTTGACACTGTGCTCTGGAGGGTTAGTTGGAGCCCGAGCGGAAACATCCTCGCCGTGAGTGGAGGAGATAACAAGGTTAGTTTGTGGAAGGAAAATCTCAAGGGACAATGGGAGAAGGTGAAGGACATTGAGGAGTGATTTTCATGTATCCCCTTCTCCTTCTTTGTTTTATAATAAGAACCTTTCCAATCTTTTTATTTCGTATCCTGCTATGATGGACATATTGGGCTTAGGTGATTCCCAAAAGAGTTAACAAGATGTGTGTCTATGTGTGATCACAAATTCCAAAAAATGAACGGCCCTCTTTCTGTCGTATCAACCATATCAACCCATTGTCCTAACATGATCTTACCCCCGGGAAGGATCACTCCCTCATAGCCTTGAATCCAAAGGAAATCGGTTTCCAGCTCACCCGGCGGCCACAGCTCGCTTAGTAAACATGCTGCTTCGTTGCCACTCGGCTCCGATTCGCCAATCTCAAGAAGCAGCGGAAGTTGCTCACGGTCCGCGGCATATATGGCAAAGCAGATACGCTGCCAACCGGGAAAGCCACCTTGCAATCCTCGAATGGGCTCTGTAAAGCCACGCACTGGATATAGATTGTCGCCAAGTCTCTGAAACCCACGGAAGTATAATCGATGAGACTCTGGCCCATTCATCGGGATTATTTTGTTGAGCTCAGGTGGCCAGTTCAAGGTATTCAAGTCTGGTCTGATTCGAAAGAACTGGGAATTGACCTGTGTTAGCATTCTTCCCCCCAACCCACCAATGCCTGATGCTATAATACATACCAATGGATCAGTGTCCCCTTGTATCCAATGTGTGTTCAAATCAGCGCATGATTGCCGGTTTTCAAGCTCGATGACTGTTTCCGGATAGGGATGGATGCATGCTTCAGGGCAAGTTTAGTTGTTTGGCATCATGCTTGACTTGAGTAAGCCCGGTTAGACACAATGACTTACACCAGTAACCCACCCAGTTGGCGCCCAGCTCCACATTTTCCTTGATAGTAGACCATACCTTGGGTCTTTGGTCTACAGGTAGCTTAGCATAAGACGTGCAGTAAGTAGCTTCATTAGGGCTCAGCAAATGCCGCACCCAGAAATTGCGGATATGCAAAATGGTTGGTAGTTCTAATTTCTTTAGATCAATGAGTGGTCTGGTAAACTCAGTTTGGTAAGAGTAGACGTCTGCAATGTCGTAGTCTGTTCGGAGGCAACGAACGGACATTTTGGGGTCAAGCGCTAGGCCGGTTAGACACTATAAAGAAAAATATTGTCATTGCTAGTCCTACAGTTCTCACATGCACATATCTTGGTTATCCTACCAGTTGAAGAGCGCAAAATAGACCGGACGGTCGGTCTCGTTTCGTGTTTCCATAGCCGCTTAGCGGCCTGCTGAGAAATTCTGGAGCAGAAAGCTGAAGTGCCTCACGGATGCGCTCGAATGTCTTTGAAAAGACCACTCCGTTCATTTCCGTAATGGTCAGAGCCTCTAGGAGGATGCTTTGCATCACCGTCAGCCATAATAGTTGCTCTTCTTTCTGGCCATATCGAAAACTGATTTTCTGGGAGAGAATGATTGAGCGAATCTGATACTCGATCTTAAGTTCAGAGGAACTCCGGCCTGGTGGTGTATCATACAAGTTCATGAAACGGTATCGCCAGACAGATGATTCCCCAGGTAAGAGTTTCTGAGCTATAAAGTTACAGCATGAAGAGAGATGTGCAACATCAGCGTCATTTGGCAGTAGGCAAGCTATGTATTGGACTATCTGAAGCATGAAAAATTCAGCAGCTGGCTTAGTAACAGAATAATTCAGAGAGTGTACCTCAGCTGGGAGTCGCTGAAACAGGTTGGCGGATCGGCTTCGGATAGGTGCTTGGAAGGCCAGCCGCTCCATTATTGCACGTTGTTATATCTTCTCAGGCCTTGAACTTGCTCTCTTTCTTGCTATCACCCGACTAGGTATGCTTGGAATCTTTCGTACCATACCCTTTGTTCTGAACTTTAAACGTTCGGTGGCTGGTAAATGTCATTAGGCAATACTATTGGCTTCGCGAAGTAAGTCGGTAGTTAACTATATTCACAGGGAACAGCCTCGTTATACCCTGGGATCGAGTTTGTTGATTATGGCAAGAAGAAGACAACCGGCAGAGAGCGTCACAGTGTTGTTTGAGAAGCTGAGAAAACCTAGCTAATCGCAACGGCGCTGATGCAAAAGGCAAACGGTTCCCACACTGAGACTCAATTGACAATATTTATATACTCTCACCGTTCAGTTGTGATAGGAGCCTGACCAGAACTTCTCTGAGACCAAATAAACACTTATCTCCAATGGTCACAGCACCATGGTCACCATGAAATGCTACTATCCGCAAGAATAATCTTCCTGCATAGATGAGTCGCATTCCAGGGGGCTTCCATGACCAAGTTTTAAATGTGCTCAGGAAATACTAATTGCCTAAGTGTCTCAGTATATAGTCTAAAAATTGTTTTATATGAAACTCATACAATTCCAAGGACGTTTCAAGCTTTTTGGTCATCTATATCTCTGGGCCTCGACTCCAGGTGGGTTACAACATGTGGCTGATGATTATGCTTGCTTCAATTCCTTCAGCCTCGATTAAATCTATGACAATGATATACCGTAAGTGTACCCAACCCAGCATCGGTTAGCCTTAGGAAGATATTAGAAGTCCAATAACTACCTAGTCAATATGGTTTCCGGGAAGTTACATCGTGAGTTGACGCAGACTATCCGCTTTAATCACATATTCAAGATAGCAATGGCTAGCAATGACGGTTTGAGCGTCCTATGTCTTGGTAGGCCCTGAGCTCATTCTACAGCCATGCACTTGTCGTAATCACACTGATACTCACGAGAGCGGGCTTTTAGTATCTACCTCTTAAACTTGCATCAACTATCCCACGGGCGACTTAGGAATGCCTATTTTTGTCCATGCCGCATCGACGATTTCAGGTCCAACTACACCCATGATAACCAACACTCAGGAGAAAGTAGCCACAGTCCCGGTTACGTCGGGGATTCACTACTAGTATCGACGTGTTCAAACATAGCCAGTGGCATTAGTTTCGCGGTGGATAGAGTTTCCCAACGAGCCAAGTTCCTGGACTAAAATGTTCATCTCCTGGGGACAAACGAATAATGTTACGAGATATAAAGATATCGAGAGGCTGGCTGTTTCCACTCCGAACCTGCTAATGCGCGCGTGGCTGATATATTCAACATCTACGCCCAATAATCAGAGGGCGACCACCGAAGTGAATTTGGAATGTTTAATATCGACCTTAACAGTGTCTTGTGCAGTAATTATATGGCTCTCCACTGCTTTCGTCGGTCACCCAAGGAGGGTCAGAAGTGCAAGTGATATCACCAGTAGCTGCTATTCCTTCTACCCGTGACCTGTTATATAGGCTTCCCTGGGATGACGTGCTCGTCTATCCGACATTCCCCTTCAAAATGAACTTTGTGGTTTTATGCGTTAAATGTTGAATCGCTTCATGCGGAAGGGTTTCCGTATCAATGCGGTCTGTACAGTAGTGCGGGCTAATTTCTTTGTTGAAGGTTCAAGAGTGAGGGAGAAGACCCCGCTAAGGCTACTGATTTCAATAGAGCTGTTCATCAAAGTCATGCCATTCCCTTGGTGTGGTAGTAGAGGCGTAGATTCTGGAGGCACCTGGCTTTCTGGCCAAAAGTCCTTTGGTCGACGGTGGATACCTCTGGCACAAGCTGCCATCCACCAGAATAAGTGAGAGACTTGACGAGAAATTCTATGACTGCAACGGTGGTAGCTCCCTAAATTGTTGCAGGTGGGTATATCGGTAAAGCAAGTTTCGGGTTGCGCCTTAGTCTAAGAATTGTCCTATATCTTTGGTTACTCCTTCTAGCTCTGCCCATTAATGACAACATATACAGGTGTAATGTTTCTCTATTTTCTTTTTGGTTGTCTAGGAGTCGTTGCGGGTCCTCGCCAGACTTTCCTTGACACCCCAGCCATCTGCGAGGAGTTCCTTGACCTCTTCTAAACCGAGCCCACTCATCTCAGGATAGATCGCCCACACACCAAACCAGCTAACTGCACAGACGACCGCATAGGTCCCAAAGGTCCACGCTGGAGACAAAATTTCCATCATGGGCAGAAAAGTGAGCCCGACAATGAAGTTTGAGGCCCAGTTCGTTGCTGTAGCGAATGCAGACCCGAGAGACCGCACACGTAAAGGGAACAGCTCGGACTGCTGCCAGGGTACATTGCCAAGCCCGAAAGCGTAAGAAGCGGTATAAACCGTTAAACACAAGAGAATAGTGATAGGGAGCATTCGGTCATCCGTCACGGTGTCACTGAACCCTGCACGTATCTGTGGGTGAGAGAACAAATCTGATGATACCAAAGAGAAGGTTAATGCGCAAACGATGAGAGATATTGTCATGATAGGTATGGAATAGAGGAGTGTTCGGCGCCGGCCGATCCTATCGATGTAGGTAAATGCAAGCAATGTGAACAGAAAGTTAGTCGTGGCCACTGACAGCGACGTGAGCGTCGGCGACGAAAAAGAAAGAGATGAAAATATGAGGCCAGCGAAGTACATAAGACTATTGAACCCGCAGAGCTGCTGCGAACCTTGCAGCATCATCGCTATAATCAATGCTCTTCTATTGCCACCAATGTAGAAGAGGTCTGTGGTACGCTGCGAGATGTAGCGAATCCACTGTTGGCCGGCCCCATAAGCACTATCAGGAGGGCTTAAATATTCTTCTGCTACCTCCTGCTGTATTTCCCGTAAAATTTGTTTAGCGATGTACTCGCTGTTTGGATGACCCTGGTAGACCTTCCCCAGGACAGCTATAGCATTTATTTCGAATCCTGCTTGTGCCAGCCATCGGGGCGTTTCAGGTAGAGCGGTGAGAATAACAAGCTGGAAGAGTGCCGGAAGTATTCCAATGCCTACGATCCAGCGCCAGCCTCCGTCAATTAAGGAAAAGAGCCAACCCACGACGTATGCTACAACTTGGCCACCGGTGATGAACAAGGAGAGGATTGTCACCAGTCTGCCCCTCATATTGGATGGTGCCAATTCGGAGATGTATCTGATGAAGTAATTAGCTAGAAACTGAAATTCTCTCTAAGCAAGCAGCTTGCTTAGTTTCGATAGACTTTTGCCTAGGGTTATTGTTTACAAGATATTGACCTACAATGGAGTTACCAAGCTTGCGCCGCCGACAGCTAACCCAATAATACTTCTACCAGCAATCATGACCCAGACTTCACTAGAGATTGCCTGCACAAAAGCACCTAGAGCGAACAGCGCATCTGCAACGAATATAACCTTTCGGCGACCGAACTTGTCGGCCAGAATTCCCGCAAGGGGGCTGGCAACCAAAGCAAACAAGCTTGTGCAAGATGTTATCAGACTTTTGTCTAGTGTTGTAAGATCGCGGTTGGAGAGATCCGTGCCGATTGATACGAGCGTTGAGGAGATCACCCCTGTGCTTCACAATCGCAGCTGTCAGTATTTGATTTCAGTACTGGGACCATTTGCATTCGAGGAGAAGCGAAAACGGTCATGCCGTACTCATAACCAAATAATAGCCCACTAAGACCAGCAGAGAATGTCAATGCCCATATAAATCGAGTTCCTGAGTAGTTCGACTCTCTATCAATGTGCCTATCCTCTTCATTGTCGGGCAGGTTGTGAGTGGTGTGTCCGTCTAGATTAAGTAGAGGAGCGTTAGGGTCCAATGTATCGTTTTCATGTCTAGTACTCATGTTTAAGAAGAATCTTCCTGATAATGAATAGATTCACCAGTACCATCCCAGGCAGACACGTTGACTGAGTGGTAGGAAATGGAAGCATCGGAGCTACGGGAGAGGTTTAGCTTGGCATCTCACGGGACCTACTCTCAATGGCTTAATTCCTAAGGCAAACACAACTTCATGTTGAAGTACCTCAGGCATACATATATTCATCAAAGCTCGATAATAGGTCGCGTGGCATAGCTGATCAAGTCTGCTCGGCTTAGCATCTCGTGGCTTTGGCCAATTTGGCTCACTTCCAGCTACCATTCATCACCAGTTAATGTTACAATGAAGGATCAGCCGACTAGACTTACCGAAAGACTGGGGATAAAACATAAATATGGTCAGCTATTACTTCGTTATCTTGCTGGGCCATTACCTGTACATAGCCACGCGCTCAGAATTGTAATACTGTTCATCATCCCTCTGAATGATTACAACTAAAAATTATACGCTGGCTTTCTGGAAAAAAAAGCGCCCGAACAAGCATTAAACAATCAAATATGGTCTCGCCTATAGCTCTTCAACATAATGATCAGTACCCTGGAAGGTTTTCTAGGGGAGCACATAACCCTGTAAGCAGATACATGTTGCAACATTCCATTCCTCTTATGTAGCGACAGATACTAGTAGGTGTTGATTCGTAGACCTGCAGGCGAAGTAGAGCAAAGGAGCATATAAATTCATCCCATAATAGTATAACTTGAGTTTTCAGTCCACTAGGTTTCAAACGCTCCCTGTCTAGTGGGCAACTGCTACACCTGCTTCATTGGCTTGTGAACTGATCATCTTTTTGTAGGCATTGACAGTGCCATCGAACTTGGTTACTGTGCCCTTGTCGCAGACCCAAAGACTAGTGCAGACGTTCTGCAACATTGTCACATCGTGGGATACCATCACGACACCACCTTCGAACCTTTGCAATGCCTCAGACAATGCATCCATACCTTCAATATCCAAGTGGTTGGAAGGTTCATCAAGGACCAAAATGTGTGGGTTTGTCAACGACAAGCAAGCAAATGCGACACGAGATTTTTGTCCTCCAGACAGGAGCTCCATCTTTTGAAGTCCAGTCATTCCAGTG